CCCAAAAAAAAAGAGATGATTGAGAACTGCAGTCTATAGTTTACAGAAATGTTCTCCCTTAAACCAAGCAGCGTGCTTTTGTGAGCAGGGTTCTTAGTGTTAATGTTTGTTCTGAATGCTGCATAAAGGTGAAACAGTTGTTTCCTGCCAGGATTGTTATTTTGAATGAGCAGTGAGCCAGGGTACTATCAAACTGCATTGTCTTCCTGCTCATCGTATATTGGGACAGAACTACTTAAAGCTATGCAGTGGGTGCACTCCTGGAAATTAAGCTGAAATATCTTTATGGCTGTGACCAGTCTCTGCTGTAACATAGGTGGCACGACACGTTACCGTGTAGAGATACCCAAGCTAGCATGCTTATAGCATAGTGCAGAGCAGACTGCCAAATGTGGTGATAGCTGGCAGCAAGATCTAAAAACCACACAATTTTACAAGCCTCTTAAGCGTTCCAACATTATGTTCCCAGGAGCTCGGTTGCAATGGTCTTGGCTTGTATTAAATGGTGTTATGTTTTTTTCAGCATCTCATTAAGGGAAACAAAGGTAGCAACATCAGCCTTTTTCCTAAAACTAGATAAGTAGAGGTTATCACTGCACATGCTTCCCACTCTTTGCTACTAAATTCACCAATGATAGGCATTAATTACTGTAGTTGGAAATGTTAATCTTTTGTCTAACACTGCCAAACTTCACTGTTGAAAGGAGGTAGTCCAATATGTAACCTCCTTTTCATGTGCATGTATGTAATATGAATAAGTACTGTATGTTTCAGCAGGCTTCATGTTCATCTAACACGGGGTGGGAAAAACATGGCCTGCGGGCCAGCTCTGGCCCATGGAGGGACTCTGTCTAGCCCACAGCGGGTACCTTGATTCCACCTGGCCCAGGCAGCATCCATCCCATGGGGTGTCCTGTTTCTCCCTGGGCATGAAATGAGGTTGGGGTGGCTCCACAGCTGAACTGCCTTTCTAGGCAGCTGTGGTGGCAGTGGTTCCTTCCAGCTGCTGCAGCCACTGACCCCAGCCCCACAGTACTGTCATGGACCCATGTGCACAGCCCCGAGCCCAGCCCGTTGCGCACCTGCTCTGGACTCGGCCCAGCGGAGAAGACCAGCTCCGGACCAGCCAGAACTAGCACACGCATCTGACCCGGTGGCAGTGACAATGGCAGAGAGGAGTGACGGGGGCAACCTGGGTGTGAGATCTGGGTAGCTGCAGCAAATACGCCTGGTAGCAGCGAGAGAGAGGGGCTGCTTTTCCCCTGCACTGAGCCGCAGCTTCTGCCCGGCCGCTGCTGCTGCTGCTGAACATGGGTGGGCAGTCCGGAGCAGGGGCGGGCTGGGGTCAGGGCTATACACTGGTTCCTGCTGGTCCACTCCACTGGGCCGAGTCCGCAGTGGGCCGGGGTCTGGGCTGTGCATGTGGGTCCCTGCCAGTACTGTGGGGCTAGGGCCAGTGGTGGTGGCAGCCAGAAGGAGCTGCTGCTGCTGCCTAGAAAGGTGGGGTGGCCTGGGGGCTGTGTGCTGTTGGTGGTGGTACATGGGATCTGGGCTATTGCACGAGGAGGGGGATGGCAGGGGTGCCGACTGGCCCCTGGCAGCTCGACAGAACTGCCTGTGTGGCCCATGGGCAAAAATAATTGTCTGCCTCTGACCTAACAGGAGATGAATTAAGTATTGTATACTCTAACCTGTATATCTTCCAGGTCATTACCCCTGAAGAAATTATTCACCCAGATGTGGATGAGCACTCTGTAATGACTTACTTATCACAGTTTCCCAAAGCAAAACTCAAACCAGGTGCTCCACTGAAGCCTAAGCTGAATCCAAAGAAAGCAAGAGCTTATGGGAAAGGTAACAACTAATGTTTGCAAGTAGAGGCACTGTAGGATATTTACTTGACTTATCTTTGTTCTTCAAAGAATTTCTGGACTTTTTGCATGTGTTAAACTTCCAAGTTTCACTTAGTACCTAGTTTCAGAAAAAACATGGATATAGTCCAAAAGACACTCCTAGTTCTTACTTGCAAACTTCCCCAACCCTCTGAACCTGTTTTTGCAAACTGCCTGTCTGGCAATTGAAATATTGGTTTCTGCAATTCACTGCTGTGGAAAGTTGGATGACACGAGTAAAAAGCACCATTTAATGATGCTTTAAAATGCCAGTGCTGCCGCAAGCAATCCTCCAAACAGGGTGATGGTGCTTGCTACTCTGTATAAAGTGCTTTTTGACTGCGCTTTTATTTTATCGCTTTAAAGTGGGTATTCTTAAAATTGTAGGAAGTATACTTGGAGGCAGTTTATCTGGACATACAGTGATAAGTTGACTTTAGAATTGCTTTTTTAATTTTTATTCCAATTCTAATTATGGTAAATGAGCAGGCAAAGATATGGGTTTACTGTGGTGTGTGTGGGTTTTTTTGTTTTTTTGTTCGTTTGTTTCCCTTTTGACAATAAAGGCAACTGAAAGTCCTCAGTTAGAGGAGAGGTGATGCTCCATAGCCTGCCATGAGAACATTAACGATGCCTAGTGAATTGGTGTCAAAGTGTTTTTGTACAAAACTAGTGAGCCTTTTATTATAACTTAGTGACCTGATCAGAGATGAAGCAATGCTGTCTGTCCCAAGGTGACCTAGTCTGGAGGACCAAGCCTGGGATTATTAGTTGGGACACTTGGGCCACACACATCCTCATAAGCATGGGCATTTAGTTCCCCAGGGACAAGTAGCGGTGGTGTACCTTGTGCACCTGGGGAATGCCTGTTCCATGTGCCCTTTGTTCACCTGCCCAGTATACTTCAGGTGGGGTAGGGAAGGCTGGGGCCAGGGCTGGGCTGGCCCCAGTAGCCTTACCCAGGGTCCTGGGGGCCTCCTGGTGCCGCAGCAGCACCTATGCTGGTGCTTGGAGCCTGGTCGGCAGCCAGAGTGTGGCTCTGTCCAGCCAGGCTCCAGTTTTGAGCAGTGCACACTGCCCCCGCTGCGCCATTCCACTTCTTCTTTTTTTTTTTTTTTTTTCTTTGCGCAGGTTGTTTTTGACCCCTGGATATCCAGGGGTCAGTTGTCCGTTGTCCGTTCCCCCGTGTCCCCGTCCCCCCATACTGTGTCGCATATTGCACGGCTGCGCTCATTTAGACACGGCCTCAGAGGTCTAATATCCATTTTGTTACCATGCTCCTCGTAAGGAAAGTCAGTGTCCGCTCCCTGCCTATAAAATGGGGGCAAGGTACTGAGGCTGAGCCTATAAAATACGTAGTAAGCGTTTCAGTCTAGAAATAGCTTTGGTAGTCTGAAAGAATGAATATGCAAACTGTTAATACCTTATCAGTACATTCATTTTTTCCTATTGAAAGCCTACATCTTCCTCCCATTGCTTCTATGTTATTGTTTTCTAAAGATAAACAGGTTCAGGAACTCAGTTGCTTACAACCACTTCCTTTTATAATCCATTGGATGTTGCACTTTCCACTAATTGTGTTGTAGTGTAGAGAAAAAGCTTTATTAAAGTTTAGAGCCACTCCGAATAGTAAGTGCTAGTTCCAGGTTAGTCCAAACACATTCATCTCTCATGTCCAAGCAAGTTTGGGAAGTGTTTTTTCCATGCCCTCAGTCTGATAACAGCATGACAGGTGTAATGGCTAAGGGCAAAGCATAAAGAGATGATGAAACTTTTTTAGTTTTTTGTGAACACATGCTGAGACAGGTCCTGTGCTAGGATAGCAAAGAACCATAGGGCCACTCAGTTTGAGTAAAACTTCCCTAATAATATTAAACTGAAATGCTCTAGAGTTTTGCAGTACACTTCAGATCCTGGGTAAAGATCGTCCTTATTTGTGTTGGTGTAACCTTAGCTCTGGCAACATTAAAATGACTTGCATTGGGGAATGTTTGTAGAAACAGGTAGACAAACCAACGCTTCTACTGTCAACTGTATGATTTGAAAGTAGAATGATACTTTTTAGATGTACTTTCAAACTTGTGTTCTCTGAAATATGGCCTTATGGAGTAACCCAGAACTTCTGTACCACTTCTCCAATTTCTTAAACTTCAGCATAGTTTGTGGCTCAAGCAATTCAACAGAACATTTTATACCTGTTCTATGAAACAAATTACCCTACCAAAACAGTTCTTTTAAGCAGTAACTGAAGCTTCCCTGTTTCTACCATACCAATGCTCTACACAATATATCTTCTGAATATTTTTCCTGCAGTTTTGAATCATTGATTCAAAGCCAAATGATAGAAGTTCTGGCTTGTGCTAGAACAGTGAGCTCTGCTATGAGCTTGGTGTTACAGCCTGAAGAGTTATTTTAAAATGTTTTTTGTAGCTGCACTACTTCCTATGAAGCTCATGATTGGTTAAATGGTAAAGTAGGAGGCAGTGGTTATGGGGAAACTAGTGTCAGAGTAGCATCGTCTCAAAAATATCTCTTGCATAATTGTTGTAGCACTAAGTGTACTCTTCTGTTGTGTCCTCAGGAATTGAGCCACATGGAAACATGGTAAAGCAACCCGCCAACTTTACTGTAGACACTATCAGTGCCGGGCAGGGAGATGTGATGGTCTTTGTAGAAGATCCAGAAGGCAACAGGGAAGAGGTGTGTCTGGTAAACCTATTTCATTCAAGAAAATTTGTTTCTGACTAGAGAAGAAACCAGCTTCATTGACCATATATTGTGAGCAGTTGGTCACAGCAGTTGATTATCAAACTGCGTGCAGTACCTTTTTAGAAAAAGGTTCATCTTGCTCAGGTTAGCATGTCTGTTCATGGCCTCTTATTTGAAGCCCCCAAAGGGCCTTGAGTATCGAGACAGTGAGGATAGATATACATATTTGAAGAAGAGCTTACCAAAAGAAAAAAAAAAAAAAAGATTTTCATTGAGGGACATCTTTTAAAGCACTTCCTGAAGTGTGTGCACAACCCAGCAGTCCTGTTACTCAGCTCTGCCTCCTACCACAGATGGAAGCGGGGGGGCTGAGATAGCTGAGCACTTAGTGGCAGTCTTCAGGACCCACTGGAGGCTGAGGCATGCAGGGGTTCCTTAGTTGGAGAACAGTGCCACTGCTTGCTTACCTTCACAGCCATTTTGAAGGTTGGAGTGGGGGTGGGTGTGGAGGAGAGGTATGTCTGCATGATCCTGATGCATGCTGACTTTTGAAGCACTCTATGAACTCTAACTTTGTATAGGCGCCTTGCTTGTTCCATGTGCTTCACAGTATCTACCGAGTAAACGCCTGTTGTTTACAGGTGGTCTTTTTGATCACAGCTAACTCTTTCAGTTGAAGAGCAGGCAGTGAGCCTTGCATGATTCGTTACATTTAGCATAGTCAAATTGTTAAATATCTCACAGTGAATACCTGAAGTACATTTGACCAACCAAAGTGTCCAAAAAACCAAACCCAAAATACCATATATTTAAGATAACAAGCATTAATTCATGACTTGCTCATTTATCCTCTTAGGATGCTGGCTAAACCTGCAAAGTATAATACCTGTTGCTAATTACTTGGCACTTATTGGGCACCATGTAAGACCTTTGTGATTGTAGATGCTGATTCTAGTGTTAAGTTCTTTTGCAACATAGAGTTCTTGAATTATAAGAAAATTTGGGATGCCATAATGTTACTTTCATCCACATTTTTAGAAGTCATTGTGGCATTTTTATAAACTAGCTTTGGAGAGTTGAGGTAGCAATATAATTGCTGTCCTGGCAACTTCTGCCACAGATGTAAGTAGCAAAATTTGATGCTGAAAAATGCTCAATCTAAGCTTTAACTTCTGAAATGTTCCCCATGTCTTAGGCAAAGGTAATACCTGACAATGACAAGAACAAAACGTACTCTGTACAGTATGTGCCAAAAGTTACTGGACCTCACAAGGTGAGTGAGCTGGAAGATTTTGGGTGTTCAGGATTAGTGTGAATTTTTAAAATGTTTATTACAATACACCCTTTAAGAGACCCTATTTACTACTGAGAATAGTTAACCAGTACATCTTTGGTTACATGTAACTTGTATTCCATTTTCTGGCAACATCCACAGTCTGGCACTAATAGGATATTCTGTCTTTCTTCTAAGACTTGAGGGGGTTGGGAGGGAGGTTCTCACTGATCCTTTCTGGATGGGTGGAATATGATTTTGTAGCTAGCAGTGCATTGAACTCCTAGCTGCTGCTGCCTGCCTCCCCTGTCCAGGTAATGTACTTGGTTAGTGCCCCAGGGCTTTACTACTCTGCTGCTGAACTCCTTTGTGGTGCAGGAGGGTTAGAGGCTGGTTCCTGGGCATAAATGGAGTGCTCTGGCTTATAGGCTTATAGCACTGGGATATGGGCATGCAATTCGATCTAGCTCTAATCAGTTGCCATGCCAATACATGCTATCACAGAAAGAAAATGGCAAAAAAGTCTCAAGACAGCTGCATTGTTTCAGCTGTTCCCCTAGCATCAGTACTGCAGTGTTTTTTCATTTGTGATCTTCTGTGAGTGAGCTGGATGGAAGTTGGTGGAATGCATGCCACTTTTCCAGTGCCCTTTCATTCGTAGTACCACAGCACTCCAACCGGGCAGGTGCCAAGTTCTTCCCTCGTTTCTTGACTGGACTCTGAGAGTGTCAACCTCCAGACTGGGGTGCAGTGAGGAAAAGATTGCCCTATGTGAAATTGAACACAGTCTTCATGACCACAGCCAAAAGTCTCTTGAACATTTTTTTTTAACATTCGATCTGTTAGCCATGCAGCACAGATTTTGCTATGATCTGCTATTTTCCAGGTCTGTGATGTTCAGCTTTTTGGCCCTGTGGGTGAGATAAGTGGCGCACAGCCTATCCGAGGGGTAGCACGCCAGATCCAGGGCACAGAGCCCAGGACTCCCCATGGGTCCAGGAATTTTGGTGGTAGGGGAGTGATGCCACAGCTTTCCTACTGCTGAATTTGTGGCCCCATGGTGGGTATCTGGGGGCTGAATGACATAGGTCTGTGGGCTGAAGGTTGAGCACCCCTGGTCTAGGTCACAATGGGACTGGCAGTGGTTTCAAACAGCAACAGTGAAATGCTGGAATTCTCTTCAGACAATGGGATTTCAACTGAACTGTTCTGCTGAGAGGTGGCTTGCAGCCAGCCAGTTTCCCAATCCTTTCTAAAAAGTGGTAAACAGCTGAAGTACCTTCAGTGTCAAGGGCCACCATGCAGCTGATGTGAACTTCCTCACTTTCCGTGCATAAAGGTTGCCATAAGACCATTGGGCTTAACTTCTGACCGCAAGAGTTCAAGCACTCAATATTATCACTCAGTAGTGCAGTAAACTCTTTTGCTCTGGTGATAGCCTAGACTTGCCTTGATCATAACTCCCATGGTACTGACTCTATCCTGTCTGTCTCTAGGTTTCAGTTTTGTTTGCTGGGCAGCATATTTCAAAGAGTCCATTTGAAGTAAATGTGGACAAAGCCCAGGGAGATGCTAGCAAAGTAACAGCAAAAGGGCCAGGCTTGGAGGCAGCAGGGAACATTGCCAACAAACCCACCTACTTTGATCTCTACACAGCAGGTAAGCATGCTTAAATGAGCTATAGAGAGCTTTAAGTTGCACAACAAATGCTTTAGAATAGGGCTCTGAACTTTCCTAACTTGTCTGGGCTGCAATATTTTTGTAGCTTTTTGTCATCTGGTATGACTTCAAACTGGTAAAAGGAGATAGCACCCACTTGTTTTACAGAAATCTGTGTCATTTGTGAGGCTGAAAAATGCAAGTTAACTTGAATTTCTGTCGGTAGTATTAGGTACTACAGAACTGAAGGAATAGTAACGCTCCTAGTCAGTTGCCGCCTATAAAATAGTTGGTGTAATTGGAATGAGGGAAACCAAAGATAAAGATATGCAGTAAACTGGAACTGTCATGAACTTGCTGTAGTATGCAGAGCAGGATACTGGCTTGTCTCCTTGCCTCCTATTTTAAGTGAGGATGTGATTATACACCTACATTGGGTGGTGGTTGGAGACCTATTTCTATAGTTTTCTGTAAATAAGCTCCATAAATGGCTAACCTGGTCTGCACTCAGCCTCATTAAAAGAACTCTTGTAGCTTAATGCTTAAAGATGTCTGGCTTGATTGAACCAGTGTGTCTTGCACGCTTTCTGAGAGAAGCCTATGAAGTTGCTAGTTTCCTTCCATAATCCCACTATTTAGCCTGGCTTCTTCCCTGCTATTACGGAATACCGTGCACGAATAAGGCATTATGAATACTGAACCACTAACAATAGTTGGAGCAATGTGAAATTTTAAAAGAGCAGTTTGAGTATTTAGACATTTAATATATTAACTGCTTTCTGCCTGAGGCTTTTAAATAAAAAAATTAATAACCCCCCCTAGCCTCTCCCAAAAAGCCCTATTACAGCTGTGTAGTCTAGAAGTGCCACATGACTTCCTCTCCCAATTAGAAACCAAATGGTTTGGCAGAATACTATCTCAGACTTGTTTTGGACTCACAAGGCATTAATGTTGGAAAAATACCTTGGTGGCTTGTTCATTGATACGGGATGGTGGAATAACAGATGCCTGATGTGAATAACAGGGAAACATTTAATTGGGGGGAAGGCATCATACTCAGGAAAAGGGTGTTGGTTTAACAGCTCTTAAACCTAACCCCAAAGAAATAAAGATTCAATGACAATAAAATGGCAGGCTGCAAACACTAAGAGGAAAGATCAGTCCTAGTTGGTCAGACTTTGCTCTGAGGAATGACTGACTTGGAAGTGATGTGAACTGCTAATAAAAAGTTTGGGAGAACTGTGGATTATTTTAAACTCTGCATATAAGCCGTGAAAGGGGTGGAGTGGGAGTGTGTGTAGTCACATGTACCAGTACGTTTTAAGCATGGATACCTGTAGACATTCACGTCGCCTTGCATGGTAAAGAATTTTGGTACTATCCTGCTGGAGGAGATAGTGGGGTTTTCTCTAGTTGCTCTTGGTAATTGGATATAGCTACAATTTGTAGCTTAGCAAATGGGATTGTAAAGCGGTGCAAGGAAGTGGGGATGGGACAGGAGAGAGAATGCTGGAATTGTAGCTGAAGAGGCAGGTGGGTGCAAGTAGCTGCCCAGGTCAGAAATAAACCTTGTATTAAAACCAGAAACTTCTGTCTATCCTCCTGACTTCTGTATTTCATTCCCTACTTCACCACATGATGGTTTCTAGACACAGCAGTTTACTTGGCTGCTGTGGCTTGAAACCTTTGTGGCTGGCTGCTCTGTGAGAACAGGGATTCCAAGAGGAAGGAAATTGGTCAAGTCAAAACTGAATCTTTTTTTCCAGGAAACTAACAAAGGGACTTTGCATTCAAGGCTGAGCTCACGCTGTTTGTTTACCTGCAGGTGCTGGTGTGGGGGATATTAATGCGGAAGTAGAGGATCCTCAAGGAAAAAATACACTGGAAGTTACAATTGAAGACAAAGGGAACCAAACCTATCGTTGCATCTACAAACCTACTCAAGCTGGTCCTCACTCTGTCAGAGTGACATTTGCTGGAGAGCCTATTCCAAGAAGTCCCTTTGCTGTCTTTGTTGGTGAAGGTATGTCCAGAAGGGCACTCTGATCCTTTTTTAAGTTTTAGATTTGGCTTCTGCCCACAGTGGATTTGATCACAGGATATTCATGAACACTTCTCATGCTACAGGACACTAAAGGATTTAATAATTATGTGCAGGTGAACAAATGATTCCTCTTGTCCATTCATGTAGTTCAATTATACACTCTTTTTTTTAAAAGTAATATGGTGTAATGGAGCCAGAGGCTCCTTTTTTACAAAACAAAAGCAGACGCTTGGTAATTGCTGTGGGGCAAGCAAACAAGCAGGCGAGATGAGATGTAGCAGAAAACTGCTCATTAGTTCTTTAATTAGGACTATCACCTGGGAGGCAGGGAGTAATTAACCACAGGTGATAATGGGGAGACTAAGATAAGGGTGTGCTTGGAAGGGGGGGGCAGTCGAATGTCAAAACGGTGGTGCACAGCTGTGAGATGGACAGCACCGAGGAACCCCATTTGGGGATTAGATTTGGAGAGCTAGGCATTGAGAAGCCCATGGTTGGGTTGCTCGGATGGTCTTCACTTGCCTTAATAGACTGACAAGTTCTGCTGTTGGCTGAGGACTGCCTGACCCAGGGCTAGATGAGTTGGAGACGGAATACTTTTTTGGCCCTGAGGTTGGATGCTTTTTGTTAAGGCAGGAGCCAGACCTTCAGTTTTGTTTTCTAACCTATGGTTTAGGTTTGGGACTCTTGAGGATTGGCTGGGGTCCCAATAGTACCAGAGGGGGCCCAGGACATGAAGTGAGCTTTGGCACTAAAGCAGGGTCACGGCCCAAGAGAGGATGGAGACCAGGTCAGGGGCCTGGGCAGGCAGGGCCAGAGCAGGTTATTTTCCTAGAGCAGGATAAGGATTGGGCCACAAGACCTGAGAAGGGCAGAGACCAGGGTCAGGAGGGGCAGTTGCCCAGAGTGAGGCGCACCCAAATTAGTGGGCCAGGCCTGGAGGCTTGCAGCCTGAGAAAAGGACCAAGGCCCTGACAAGGGAGTAATTTTGCAGTGACATCTGAGAGGCATGGGCATGGTGTAAGGCAGGGGTGGGCAAAATGCGGGCCGGATGCAGCCTGCCAGGCCATTCTATCCGGCCTGCGGAGACCCTAAAAAATGTAGAAAATTAATATTTATTTGCCCCTGGCTGCCTGTCATGCAGCCCTTGATGGCTTGCCAAAACTCAGTAAGCGGCACTATGCCCGAAATAATTGTCTGCCCCTGGTGTAAGGGCTGGTTGTAGCCACGTAATAAGCTCTTAAAGCAGTGCGTAGTGAAACCAAAGCTCCAGAGATCTCGCTCGGGGATCCCAAAAGCAGTTTTCTAAATACTTACTTACTTCACGGTGTGGCAGGAAAGAAGAAGGGGAGACCTGCTTAAAAGACTGAAGGCACAATAGGGTCATGGTGGCCATGAAGGGGCATTCTGGCTACTCATGGGTTCTTACTCTGTTACATATGTCTTGAGCTGCTAGTCTCCTCCTTTAACTTTAAACTGCCCTCTTATTAATTTTTTTTAGACGAGAGAGTTTATTTTTATTTAATTATTTATTTTTATTCAGCTATTCAGGTGTTTCACTATTCTCCAGCTCTGCCTCTTAATTGACTATTTACTTTGTCTCAATTTCCTCCTTAACTGACACCTAACTCGCTTTCTGTTCCATCCTCACCTGCTCCTATGCTTTTAGATCTCTGCTCATCTCTCCTGAGCTACCCTCCATTTGTGGAATTTTGGACTTCACTGCTAGTCGCCTCATAATTGAGCGAGCTCTGTCGGTAAGAGGTGTGCAGGGTGATTTCTTCCTTCATGTTTGCTGTCTTCAAGCTTCTAGCCTGCAGCTTGTGGGGTTTTTTTGTTTTGTTTTTTTGATCCAACAGTTTCTTTTGCTTCTGTTTCCTTGGAATGAAAGTTGTGAGCAAAATATGAAATATTGAGTAAAGTCATAACGAGATTCCTGTCTTGTAAGTCAAGTGAAATTTTGCTTAACCACAAACTAACTGCCAAACCCAATTGTGCAAGGGCTATGCGATTTCTGCCTTGACCTTGTTAATACAGATTAAGTTAGGAAGTCTGCTTCTCTGAGATAATACTAATGGATATAACTGTTCAGGGATTAGGGTAGAAATCATCTGTTTGATGTGCAAAAGGTAGGATGAACTGCTTGGTGAGTCCTCTCTGCTCCTGTTATAAGCACAATAGATGTAACAGGAAAGGGGTTGGGGATAAAATCCATGCTTACAGTAGACCACCATGAAGCCATGGTCGCACCTCTATTCTTTTTTTAAAATCTAGATCTTTTGGAACACTCCTGGCTTGAAGACCTCCTGGTAGTTGGAATGGCATAATGTCATGCCCAAGTTATTCATAATTTTCAACTATCTTTATTTTGTAGAGTCTGCTTCCACTTTAACTCTGTCCAGGGCTGGGAAAAATAATTTGCATAAACATAAGGGATTAACATAAACTAAAACTGAAAAGAAACCCTACCATCCTGCTTGTCTTCCCTTATTAGGGACTATTCTCCACATGTGAAGGGTTCTAGTAGCATGGCAAGCCTTCTGTTGTTGATAGGATCCTGCAGTAAAGTAAGGGCTTAAACTTTCGTGTCTTCCAAGGAGCCTAGTGTATGGGGAAGTCACTTTTGTGCAAATCAGAGTGCAGTTTTTGCCCTTTTCCTCAGCCCATAGGACTTCTTGTAGGGGGTGCTCCTGCGCTGAGCCACGCACGTCACTGCACCTGACCACCTTCCAGGCTCCGAGTGCCTCCCTGGGGGCACCTCATGCCTGGCTGGCCCCCTTCCTGGAGCGCACCCGCAAGCTTGGGGTACCGCTGCCACCATCCAGAGGTGCAGACTGTTTCTAGGCCCTGTGCCCCCTGGGATACACAGGCCTTGTAGCCTTTGAGGGTACTTAACCCACTGCAAGAACTTGGGGTGCTTCCCTTAGTCTGAAGAACAAATAGTGGTCTCCCTTAGTCAGCTGGACCAAGGGGACCCCAAGGCATAATCTAGACCCTCTGCCAATAAGTCTTCCACACTAGGTACAGGGGAGAACTTTTATTGATTACAAGGAGTAGGTTTGGAGTAGGGTACAGGATAGAGCAATATCAGAAAAATACCTTGGAGCAAACAGAGTGTCTGGGTAGCCTTTAATTACACATCTGAATTACTGCAAGCTATATACCTAGTTGGATCTCAAGTTCTTACTCACAAGCATCATCCAGAGGCTGATAGAGCTTTCCTCTGGAGGCAGGCTGTTCGTAGTGTGTCCGTGTGTTTTGAGAGAGCGAGCTGCTGAGGTTCAGCTATTTTGTCTTCATCATGGCTGCCACCCCTTCCTCCTGGGCAGTCTTGGCTTTATATTGACTGTCTGACATCTGCCTGATCCAATAAGGACCAGTAGATTTTGGCTGCCAGCCAACCAATTTGAAATGCATCACTGATTACTGGGCAGAGGGACAGTGGCTCTGCCTCCCTTCCCAGTCAGGAGGACATTCCTAAGAGGATGGGGAACTAAAGCCCCCACCCTGTTACCCGCCTTCCATCACAGCCCAGTTTGATTTGCAGATGTGGAGACAATGGCAAAGAAAGAAAGGGGGAGGAAATAGCCCTGCTTAAGAGGTTTGAGTGGAGGAGGCCCACATGGACTCCTCCACACTTCTCACTACAATATACCCCTCCAGTGAAATTTCATATACTGCTTTTTGACCTTCGTATAAAATTCAGAAAGAGATGCAAGGGAAACAAAGCTTCAGTTTTATTAATATGGTAACAAATGTTCTAATATTGCTGGAACCTGCATGGCAACAATTTGGTCCCAAACATGGGCAAGCTAGGTATCATTGCTTGGTGGCTTTTTTTTTTTTTTTTTTTTTTGCTTTCTGTCCTTAAAAATGTGACTTGTGTAACTTGAGCCATTGCCCCAGTGTTCCAAACACCGTGGTTCAAAAGCCTCAAGGACCTGTGTAATAGCTAGAACAATTCTGTGTTGGTTCACTCCAGGGGTATAGAATGGCATTAAGACTTCCCATAGTAGGAAACTAATCTTCAGTTGCCCTGAGTCAACTCTTAGTTAAATGCTGTTCCAAGCTGTCTTGGCTACATTTTATTTGTAGAATCAAAGAGTATATTCATGTCTGAAATTCACTTGCAGCTTGCAATCCAAATGCTTGTCGTGCCAGTGGTCGAGGCCTGCAACCTAAAGGAGTACGGATTAGAGAAACTGCAGACTTCAAGGTTGACACTAAAGCAGCTGGGAGTGGAGAGATCAGTGTGACCATAAAAGGACCAAGTAAGTGTGTGAAATCTTGTAGCTGTCTTTTTGTTGTTGTTGTTTTTGTTTTTGGGGTATTGTGGAGAAGAGACAAGAGCCCAAAATGGAGTGGCACACCCAAATGTGGGTCCATCCCTGTTGTTAGTCGTCTGCATGCCAGAAAGATCTTCATTTCTAGAACATTTATGTATTCATGGGATATGAGTTACAAAACGGGTGACTAGGTGCCTTCATACATCAACATGCTTTATTTTACTTAGGCTTTGTATTGGAGTGACTTTTAGCGCTGCTGCTGCCACTGTGGTGGAAAGTATCTAGTCTTCCACAAAACATCTCTCTTGACACCTCTTAGCAGAAGTTGCCACATTTCATACTGAAGCAGAGGATCGTAGTTGCTGGCTGAGTGATATTAAGCAGATACCTTATCCTTATTTATGGCCTGGTCTCTAATAGCAAGGATTCTAAGGGAGTTTCTGATGCCTGGTGTCTATCGTGAGCTCCACTTAAGTGATTGGCCTGGATAAGTTTGTTTTGCTGCAGAACCTGCCTGAATGCCTATTAATAGAGACTTAAAATCTTGCTAATTAAGTGCTTGAGAATTTGAAGTCCTCAGTTCTCCAGTCATCTGTTGCAGTGACTCATTAGACATTGGTTCACGTACCATCTTAAATAGTTGATGGCTCAAGCTCACATCATGTGCTCCTGTGACAGGATGGCAGCTGTTCTGCTACCATAGAACTAGATTTTCTGTGACGTCTTTGAGAAGTACTGACACCCTAAATGCTGAGTAGTTGGAAGTCCTAGATATTGCAAATGCAATACACTTTGGATGAAGGGAAACTTTCATCTTAAGGCTCTCACTAAATTCCCCAGGATCATTCTAGTTTCTTGACTCTGTTTCCAGCTGGACCATGCATCATGCCTGGTATCTTTGCAAGCAAGTGGCTTATGGTTTTTTGTGCCTTTTTGATTTGATTTTTGTGCCCCCCATTGCAGACTTTGACTCACTTTGGTCTGTACTTGAAGTTCAACTGCTTAATTTTAGTAAATTTCTGAGCAAATCCCCTAGTTTTGGATTAGATGCATCTGGTATCCCCTTTAATGATGAGGGAAGTGATAGTTTAAGTGACTGCATGGTTTAATGTGGTTGGGGAAAAAGGTAACAGATGTACCAATATAAATTTCAGGATATTAAGCTTTTTCTCGCAAGATTCTTCATCTCGAGGAAAACTAAAAGTAGGCATACCCTAAATATTTGTGGTCACAAAAATCTAACAAATGTTGAGCTTTTTTGTTTTAACATATGATATGCATCATGCTGCAGACTAAGAGAAAATAAAACATAGGGGAGCCTATTAAGTTTGGAAACTTAAAACACTTTCTCTCATCTGTTTCTTCTGGAAACATTTGCCATCTCTGCCCTTTTGAGGGCAACTGGAACTAACTTCCCCTTTTACCAGACTTTCTGGTGAAAGCATCTTTATTCTCACAAAATTAAAGTAAATACTAGAAAACACGAACTTGCCTGAGTAGCCAGAGCGCTGCCAGCTGACATCTTAAATCTAACTTTGAATTGCTTTTCCTGCAGAAGGGTTGGAGGAGCTTGTGAAACAAAAAGACTTTGTGGATGGGGTACATGCCTTTGAGTATTATCCAGCCAGCCCGGGGAAATATGTTGTCACTATTTTATGGGGTGGACACAATGTCCCCAAGAGGTGAGTTGGAAAATTTCTTTTTAATCCTTCAATATCATGCAAGCAAATACCAAAAAAACCCCAAACAAAACAACAAAAACCTACTGTGGTCAAGCTTGTCTTCCAAGAAGCTCTAGCAAGAAGTATTTTGCAAATAAATAGTTGCTTGGATTTGTAGGCTTATTTTTATTCCAGAGACAACAGAGCTTGCACTGTAAAGATATTTAAAGGTGATTAGATTTTTGTAGAGGCCTATGCAGATTTTCAGTACTCGGGTTTGCATTAAACCAGGGGCGGGCAATTATTTTGGGCAAAGGGCAGCTTACTGAGTTTTGGCAAGCCATTGAGGGCTGCATGACAGGCAGCCTAGGGCAGATAAATATGAATTTTCTAAATTTTTTAGGGGCCCTCAGGCCAGATAGAATGGCATGGCAGGCCGCGTCCGGCCTCCGGGCCACATTTTGCCCACCCCTGCATTAAACTCATGGGCTGTCCAAAGCAACTTTTTTTTGTTTGTTTGTTTTACTGCAAGCTATCTGTAGGATTTTGGCCAGACAAGCCCTCAGTGTAGAGGAATCAAGCAAACAGTCTAAATATATGGCTTGCAGTATTGACCCAGTGATGGAAAAGATCTAAAATACATTTTCCTTGCAGCTCTGGGGTGGGTGGTGGGGGGAAGGTTTGGATTTATCTTTTGCATTTTTCTAATTATGAGCTTTGTCCTGCCTGTCTTCTAGCCCCTTTGAAGTTCAAGTAGGTCCTGAAGCAGGTCCTCAGAAAGTAAGAGCCTGGGGACCAGGACTTCATGAAGGGATTGTTGGTAAATCTGCTGATTTTGTGGTAGAATCCATTGGCACAGAAGTTGGCTCTCTTGGTAAGTTGTACTGGTCATCTTGGCAAAGGTGGTTTTAAATGCAGGTTAACTGCCCAATAATTGGTCTAAAATGGTAACAGTGAGGTCTCTTGGTCACTGCTAGCTAACTACTAGCTCTGGATACATCTGATGATTATAGTTGCAGAGGAGGAGCATTTCCTATTGTCTTTAATACTTGCTGGATTTTAGGGGGACATGTCATCAATGGAGGCATTTGTGCTCTGTTGGGTAGGCATTATGTCTAGAAAGGAACAGGACCTACCAATAAGAAAGGCATCACAGAGCAGTGAGTGAGGAGAAGATGGACAAATTGTGGGAACACTTAAGAAAAGTTATATGTGATTAGTGTTGAGCCTAGATTTGTGACCACTAGCTCATCTTTGGAGGCCCAGACTATATATGACTAAACGAGTGTTTCCTTTAGGCTTTGCAATTGAAGGCCCATCTCAAGCTAAAATAGAATGTGATGACAAGAATGATGGCTCATGTGATGTGAAGTACTGGCCTAAAGAGCCTGGTGAATATGCTGTTCATGTTATGTGCGACGATGAAGACATAAAAGACAGTCCTTACATGGCTTTCATCCGACCAGCTTCAGGAGACTTCAACCCAGATAAGGTAAGACGAAGGCTCTTGTACAAAATTTGAATTTTATTTGGTAGAGCTGTGGTTTTTGGAAGAGGTGGCTCCAAAGCCTACAAATGAAATTGGCTATCTGACTTGACTCCTGTATTTATTACTGTTGAAGTAGACAAAATCCTAACTTCTCTAGTCTTGTCTTGTTTTCTTTGTGAATCTTGTCCCTGGGTACTCCCAGAAGTGTAAGAAACTGCTGGGGTCCTGCTTTCTATTTTAAATTGCTTAATTTAGCTTGGATGGTAAAACTTGCTTTCCTTTTTCCCCCTGCAAACTTCTTAGGTGAAGGTTTATGGTCCAGGATTGGAGAGAACTGGCTGCATTGTAAACAATCCTGCTGAGTTTACAGTTGAAACAAAGGAAGCCGGGAAAGCTCCATTGAAGATTTATGCACAGGTAAAAAGCAAAACCAGTTCTGTGGAACTTGTCACCAATAGTAAAGGACTTTCTAGCATACACCGACACAAGTATTTACAGGAGGTTTATAGAATGGCAACATGCCCAGTACCTACTGTGCAAATCTGACTTGTCTGTCCCTTGCTGTTGAATGGCATGTTCTTTGACATAAGCTTAATTCAGAACAAGATGGCACCTCACTTGAGTACTGAATAGCTAGCTTTGTTCAGTGCAGACTACAAAGTGTCTCAGGTGTAGGGTTGCAACATGCCTTACTCAATGCTTCCTATTTCTGGCAATAAGGCTTAGTCTCTTTTGTGGGGATGTCTACATGTGGTCCCTTTTGACAGAGTCTATTAGAATCCACATCTAGACATGAGGAAAGTTTAACAGTTCAAATATCTGGGGGGACTTGGAGTTAACTGTATAAGTCTTTTTCATTATTGCTGGTAGCCTTGTTTGTCGGCTGCCACTAGCAGAGCTGTAGCTATTGAGATAAGCTTGTTAAAGTTGCGTATTCTTTCTGTTTGCACACAATTGTCTAGTCACTGTATCTCATGCAGCTTCTCCATTTCAGGATGGTGAAGGATGTCCTATTGACATACAAATGAAGAGCAAACCAGATGGAACTTATGCCTGCTCTTACCTTCCAGTTAAACCAATCAAACATACCATTGCTGTGATCTGGGGAGGAGCCAATGTACCTAATAGCCCGTTTAGGGTAAGCACAAAAGCTGTGGTACTTCTTAGGTGGAAGCAATTGGTGCAACTTCTAAAATGTGCAGGCACTCAACGCTGGGCTCCACCTCCTTTAGGCATGTTGATGATCACTTGTCGGTAGAACACCATCCTTCTTTATGATTTTTTAAGAAGTTGTCACTTTTAGCTATCTGTTTAAAGCATCTGTCTAGCTAAAAAGTGCCATACTTCTTTCAGCAAGTTAGCATGTCTTTTTATGTTTTGTTGCTATCAGAACATTGACTAGGGACGTGTTTCTACAGGCTGTGGAAAAGCAGTAGCTAGTCTAGCATTTAAGTGTTCAGACTCTACTAGTTTGGCATGTGATTTGAGTATGGGGTAATTCCTATCTATTCCATCCAGGTCCTGATAGGCCAAGGCAGTCATCCTCAGAAAGTGAAAGTGGTCGGCCCTGGTGTTGAGAGAACTGGTCTGAAAGCCAATGAGCCTACTCACTTCACAGTTGACTGCACGGATGCAGGAGAAGGTACACATAGTCTGGCTATTTCTGCCTTTGTAGCAAAACTATTTAACTCCTTCAGATGCTCCTTCTTGTGTATCTATGATTTCCTGCACAAACAAACTTCAGCAGAGAAACCTGCTCTCTCTTCCTTGATAAAAAGGGAAACAAGCAAAAGATGGGTTAAACTTTATCATATGGATTTTTATGCAGGTGCTCAATTAGCCATTATGTCTGTCCGGTGGCTTGAAATCAAAACGACGTTCAGTTGTATAGCCAGCTGGCTGTTAAACAGTACCTTCTGAACAACTTTTTACTGCTGTCTCCTAGGTGATGTCAGTGTTGGCATTAAGTGTGATGCTCGTGTGATAAGTGAGGAGGAAGAAGACATAGACTTTGACATCATACACAATGCTAATGACACATTTACAGTGAAGTACATGCCACCAGCTGCTGGGCGGTACACTATCAAAGTGCTTTTTGCAGGAGAGGTTTGTACTTTACATTTGTATTGCAGAGAGTCCCTGGAGAATGTCAGGCTTTACCTTTTTCTTCTCTCATCTTTTGATCTCTGGCTGAGCTCCTGCTGCTTAGTGCTTCTGAACGTGGTTGGCTTTGATGCTGGCTCAATTTATGCTGCTTGGCAGCATAAAGACAGCTGATTACAAATCATAGTTCAAATGTGCTCTGTCTAGTCACTGCTTTCAAGAACCCTTTTGTAGGCCTGCTTGAAGAATAGCAAATCTGATCAGGGTGGGTTGTGGACTAAAACTTTAACCATGTGCTGTGCAGAGCTGGCATAGTGAAAGCATGCATTTGGGTCACTTGACCTCTGGCCTCAGTAGGTCTACTGAAGGTAATTGGTTTCCAAAATAGCTTCCCCTTCCCCTCCTTTCCCCCTCTCTCTCCCTCCTCCCTCCATGCAGAAAACTTAACAGATCTCAATGCATAAGCCAGTAAGAACTAATGTTATTAAAAAAAGAAAGAAAAACTATCTAGATTTCAGGTTCTCTGCCTTGTAAGTAAAAGCTTTCATTTATTTGCTTTATTTTACTGGTCACTTACTTTAGTAAAAACTTGCAAACTTATACGTTTGCCCAAATTCATTAAGGAAGAAGTAATTTTTATCACTCTGGACTCGGGAACTGATGGCACTTCAGTATTCTCCTATTGTACTAGCACCAAAAATGCTGCAACTTCTTCCAAAGTTTTTTGGGTGGCCTCCTTGTCCAAGCTGAGAAACATAAGACTAAAATGGCCCCACTGCTTTTGAGCATCCAGCCTTTTTGGCAGGCATGCCACAACTAGCTCCACACCCTATCGGTGCCGCTCTGATCCCCGTCCCATGCCTGATCTGCTCCCTACTCTGTCTGCCACTGTTGCCTACTCCCCTCCTTAATCTTGATTTACTCAAAAGCATTGGTTGGGTTTTTTGCCTTGCCTCTGGACTGGGACAGTTGGGGTAGAAAAACATACAAACAACATGTTAGTAGTTTACTGAGTAAAGCTGGGGGGCCATCTTGGAGATGATTCACAGAAACTTGTATAGCAGACTAAAGCTTCCAATGAAGTAGAGTTATTTTTGTCCAGTCACTTTTTTCTGTTCTCTTTGAACAGAAATATTGCTGCTAGAAGGCAGATACCTTTTACCTTCAGAGCTACCCATTTCAAAACCTGCTGAAATCTTATAATGTAACATTTTTGTATACCAGGAAATTCCTGCCAGTCCTTTCAGAGTTAAAGTGGATCCATCACATGACGCCAGCAAGGTGAAAGCTGAAGGACCTGGACTAAACAAAAGTGGTGAGATATTTTCATTTAAACACTGGTGGATGACACGAGCATGGCTCAATTATGTGAACGAGCAGTAATGAATTGATGTTAAGAATTGCGTCATAGCTTTCTCCAGATGGGGTTCTGGGATGGGATCATGTTATGCCCAAATCTAAGTTAGTGTTTGAAACCAGTTTTAAATTCAGCTTGATTCTACTTAACAATGAAGACAGCACTTGTAACCTCTTGCTTGATCATTATGGGCTATATAAATTTATACATAATATTTGGTCTATACTAGCTGTACTTGGAGTTTCAGCACCTGCAACATGTTAAATCTCTTCCCCTTAAGGTGTGGAAAATGGCAAACCAACACACTTCACAGTATTCACTAAGGGTGCTGGGAAAGCACCACTGGATGTGCAGTTCAGCGGACCTATGCCAGGAGAGGCTGTGATGGACATGGATGTCATTGACAACTATGATTATTCTCATACTGTCAAGTATACCCCAATACAGCAGGTAGGCCTGCCGTTCTCAAAGGAAAGTGGTGCACCTGCAGTATAAGTATCTATATGTAAATGAATTGGGTGCTTGAGTTCCCTAATTTTGCTAAGAACCAAAACCATCATTAACATAAAACTGTAGATATGATCATGTTTGGCACTTTCTGTCCAATTAGCATATTGCTATAAAAGGTTTGTAGAACAGTTATGGTTGAAGAAATGTGTGATTAGAAATATGTTGCCAATAGTTATCTTGATTTCTGGAAATTATTTGGTTACCAAAACCATTCCACTTGGATCATGCTGTAATAGCAAACTGATGCTTCCAGAAGATAGCAAATCAGAATAAGAAATGGAAATGGGCCATTTGCTTATTACCTGCGTTCATACAAAATCTGATATGATCTTACATACTGCACTTCAGAAAGTGAAACTTCCCTGCAGTCAAATGAGCTCCAATTTTTTGTACAGGTCAAGTTCCAGCTAAGTACACTCAGCTCAAGGGAGAGCGTGGATTTCATGCTGCTATAACTCTTAAGCTATCTTGTTTTAAGCTTAACTAGTTGATTATCAGCCCCAAAGATGTTTCAAATTTAGATCCATTTGGCATGATGGCATGCAGTTTCAAGTTTTGGCCCTAGAAGAAAACGATTTTTGTCACAATTCACTAGACTGGTAGTGGATTCTACATTTTTGGCTTCATTTGCTTTTTTCGTGGTGTAACTGGCTGCAAATTTTATATCTGTCTGTCCTTCTGGTGTGCTTGTACAAAAAGAACTCTGTTCGTAAACACTGTGTGCAAGTTTGCATCCTGAGGCAAAGGGTAATGGGATGAGAGAGAACAGAACAGTAATGACTGACTGAGAGATGTAGGTTAAATAATTGCTGTGGGATTCCTGGTTACACTTGGCTTACACTACCTCTTGCAGTCATGGCTAATTGTAATGCTGAGTTCCATGAGCATAACTGAATGGTTTGGCAAACTAGTTGTGGTGGTAAGAAGCTCTCATGCTGGTATAAAATGACTTTCATAGAAAATTGGGTTTGGAAGGGACCTCAGGAGGTCCATCTAGTCCAGCGTTTCTCAACCTGTGGGTTGTGACCCAAAAGCAGTTTGCAGCAATATATGGAAGAGTTGTGAACAAAACTTTTAAAAAATGGTTCAGCAAACTTTAAAAATGGATTCTCCTTTAAAAGAGAAAAACCTGGGAAACCACAGGTTTCCCCTTGCATGCTGCCAGAGTTCTAGCTTGCAAGGGCCTGTTTGGGGCTGGGGGGAGTGGGAGGAGGGCAGTCAGGCAGGGGGTGCCATGTGCATATGCGTGCACACATGCACGTGGCAGCCAGGCAGTGTGGTGAGCAGCTCCCTGCAAGTAAGTCTATGCAGGGGAGGAGAGGAGCATAGATGACATGTCAGGAGGATGGGGGGTGGGGCGCACAGGTGACACTGTCTGCCACCCCACCTCCTCTCTGGGGTAGAGCTGTGGTCTGAGGGGAGTGGCAGCGGCAGCTGTCAGGCCATGGTGGCAGGGCAGAGCCACAACCCGATGTATGAGTGGCTGGTGGTGGAAGAAGGTGAGGGTAGCATGTCCCCCCGCCACATGCACACTACTGGCAGTGTGGCTAGTGCAGGGGTTCTGGTGGCAGTGACAGCAATGAGTCTCGCTGCCCTGCTTTCCCCTCCCATGCTGAGTCTTGCCCACTGGGCTGTGGAGGTAGATCCTGTCCTTGCTGGTCTGGCCAGGCTGCAGCTCTGTGCCTGCTGTGGTCACCACCAGGTCTGGGGTTGGTGACTGCATTGGAAGTGAGGGGCACTGGCACTTTAAACTATTTACTGGGTTGGGACTGGCCATCAGTGTTCACAAATGGATCCTGGTACAAAACAAGCTGAGAACCACTGATCCTAGTCTAACCTCTAGCTTTGATTAACTATAAAATTGATGTTCCCTTCTGTACAATCATTTTGACCAAGCAAAGGCTCTAGTAATACGTTCATGGTACAGCATAAATTTCCTCTACTAATATTTGGTGCAGCTGTGGTTTGTCTCTGTTTTGATATGCTCAAAAGAGCAAGTTAAAAATGTGAACAAAGCAGTTAATAGGAGCTTTGCAACACTTGTATTTGAATAGTGCAAATAATGCATCATTGTTTGCAATGTATGGGCAAACTACTGATCACTGGAAGTGAATCAGACCAGACAACAGCTCTTGAATTCAGGATAAAGCAATATCTGATTTTATTTCAGAAGAGCAGCGTTGCCCTTTTAAACTGGGTTTGCCAAACTATAGGCAAAGCATTGTCTTCAATCATTGCTTACTGTTTTCAAGACACTTTTCTGGCAGTTGTTGCTAATTGCTGGAGGTAGGGCAGGGGGAAGAGGAGGGAGGAAGAGGGGAGGAATTATTTCATTAGTAAAAGAGTTTGGATTTTATTAAGCTGTAAGGAGAGTTGGCCTATCTTCAAATCTTTTCCAGATATACAATAGAATAGTTGCTACTGCTGGCACGTCTAACCACTCTTTTATAGGGCTATAGCTGTTCCCTGGCCTGCAGTTTCTAGTTAGCAAAGCTGAATTATTTAGCAAGGCTAAAAGAGCAGGCACTCTGCCAGCTTTCTGTCAGACCCACAAATTATAGTGGGTGGTGTAATGCTTGGGAAATAATACCCTGGTTGCACAGAACAGCTCGTATATGTGTGCTTTTTAGAGGTGGGGTAGCAAGATTAGGAGGGAATGAAGGGGTAGTTGTGAAACTTCTGTGTAGAAGGGTGAATAAACCTTGCAGGAGAAACTGGTGTAAATTTGTACATACTGCTGTGTTTTATGCTGCTTATCAAATATTAAACAACTCCTAACTCTGAAAGTACAACTCATTCTTGTGCCTTTATCTGAAGGCTTACATGGAGCTAAACAGCAATCTCCTTAGTCACAGGGAACTGTATGTATACAGCTGAACACTTGGTATTTGGAGCTTAACTAAATGGCTCGAGCAATGTATTCATCCTACATCCAGGCTTACTATTTCTAGCATTTCATGTCTACTTCAGAGGTGGAACACAGGAAGCCTAGAGACTTGTACCCATTCTGCAGCTCTGAGCTGCTTGTTAGAATTCAGTCTTAAGTTTTGCACAGAGACCAGAGAAGGTTGTAAATACACTTAATAGCGCTCATAGCATTTCATGCTGCAGCTGGGATAATACTGGGAGTACAGAAAGCCATGAAACAGCAAGTCTAGCTTACCAGATCTCGGTAGTAGGGAAGCAGTATATGATAGGAGGGGAGAAAACTTGGCTGTTTGGAGAAAAAGGAAAAGACATCTCTATATGGTTACTAGGCAAAGATGCAAGCAGATTTCACCTAAATCTGAACTCCATTTTACTTCAGGTTTGTAGGAATCCTGCACCAAGACAAGCTGTGCCCTTAACAGGGTGTAGACCATGAATTTGTGGGTGGGAGGAATTGCTAGGCAGTTAGCTTCCAAACAGCATCAGCAGTTGGGGAGGGAGGGAGAAGGTCTTGGCTTAATGCTATTTACTCAATTCTATCTACTTCCCTTGGGGTGTTGCTGCAGCTACCCATTTGTATGTTTGATTGAAAATAATCATGGAAGCTATTCACAGGCTTGTATGAAACATTCATGATTTCACTTGGGACCTGAACCAGCCAAAAACGTAAAGTAAGCAAACAGTGACTATAGCAAAAATATGGACTGTGGTAGGAGAGAATAAAAGCAGCACACATCTTCGGCTGAAACTTGCCATGACTATGTGGCATTCCAGCCAAAGTACACAGGAGCATTAATCTCTCTCTTTTCTGAGTTGTACAGCTTAAAACCTTGGTATTTCAAATGCTATAATAATAAAAGTCTCTGCAGGGCTGGATTTGGCATGCTCACTCCATACTATGGAATGAGATATCTGGTCTTTAGTGCTGGGTCATTCATTCAGCTGTCATGCCTGAGCTTGGGAGGGTGGGAACAGATTGGGGCCTGAATTTTTGCCAAGTGATTCAAATGGTCTTCTATAGACCAAAAGGAGAGAGAGCTTTTCCCTTTGCTGCTTTGAACTAAAAAGACTTAATGCTCTAGAAACAAGAAGCTGGGGGTTAACAGGGCTGTTGGAGTCTGTCCACTGTCCGCCTAAACACCCTGAAGAATAAAGAAAATGTAGTTCCTGAATAGTAAAGCATCTACACACAATGGTTGAAAGCCTAATCTGCTACATCACTTTTCTTGTTAGGGTCCAATGAAGATTTCACTAACCTACGGTGGTGATCCTGTCCCCAAGAGCCCTTTCACTGTGGGTGTTGCTGCACCACTAGACATGAGCAAAATTAAAGTTAATGGACTTGAAAACAGTAAGTACACCTGCAGCGTTGAATTGTACACAACCTAGTCTGGCCTTCTTAAAATCATACAAATCTTCCTATCACTGAACAAAGCTATTCTTTGAAAGCTTGCTTCAATCAAAACTTAGAAACCATGTAGGTTTGTAATGCTAGATATGTGCAGGACTGCTCTTGTAAAATTACTGCTACAGTCTAAAATGAAAGGTGCCAAGTACTTCTGCATAAACGGCTTTGCATAAATAGCTCCTGGCTCTAGCTAGGAGATGCTTTGCTTCATGTAGGCCTAGTTTTTAAATCTATTCTGTTTCCAAGTTTTAAAGCCAAATCTAATTTGAAGTTTGATCTAGTAGTGGTAATAGTAGCGGTAGTGGCAAGTAAGGTCCATAAAATTGTAGATATCTACTTCTAGATGCTTGGTAACACTTCATAGTGTTGACTTTTTTTTTTTTTAAAACTGTGCCAAACTTTTGTCTTAATTGTTTAAGTTGCAAGAAGGGTACCTGGAGATAAACCTCAGACCTTAGACTTTAAACTTTAATTCTCCCTCGTTCAGAGAGAATTGGACTTGGCTGCTTGCTGAATCATTTTGCACTTGTAGTGAAAAACTATTTAAAAAAAAAAAAAAAAAAGAGACCAGTGTCCAAAAGATCCAAGACATGAATTAACTAGACTTCTTTTGTAGACTTTAAACCTCAGTGGTCTTTCTCTAGGATCAGTCTTCAATCTCTGTTGGTACAGCAGTAGGTACTACTATTTTGCAAGCACTGCTTTCTGATGGTTAGAAACTCTGGTAAACTATTATCTGAGAGAAGCCTAATTATAAGTAATCTGGTCTCAACTAATCTTTTTTCCAAAGGGTTTAGGAGCCCATCTGCTGTTTTAGTTTCTTAACTCTGATAGGTTTTTTTTTTCTTCAGTCGGAGATAAGTCAAACAAACAGCTAAATACCCCTGGAATCAGACTACTAGAACAAACAATTCAGTTGTATCAACAAGCGCATTGCTTTTCAACCTAACATTGCAAACTTGGGTTTAGATAGATATGCCTTGTTACAAAGGGGCTGTGTTCTTTTTGAAGTGGCTGAGGATCTTACTTCAGCTGGAGTCTTTCTAAAAGCCTCTTGAAGACTGGCAGAATTCTCTTTTGCGCTGACAATAATATGGAGCCAAGTAATTTGGGTCAGGCTTACCATTTTGCTCCAAATAGGCAAAATTACTGCAAGACTGCTTAATTGGTAAAGTGAGAACCCAAATTCCATGTCGAATCTTGGAACACTCCTCAGTAAGCATCTTTAGTTCAGATGTGTTCAGGGTACGTCTAAGTCTAGGCACTCTTGCTTCTGACTTCCAGTTACAGAGCCCTCTCTCTTTTTTTTTCCTTTGCTCTTCTGCTTTTAGAAAATCTTTTTGAAATAGGAACATGTTGGCTGAAGAAATATTTGTCTTTCAGTTCTCTGTGTAAGAGAGGTATTTCTAGAGCTTGAAATGACCAGGATGTAAGCTGTTTTTAAACCCATGTAATCCTGCATTATTAATATGGGTTTTCTCCCTCTTTTTAAGGGGTAGAGGTAGGGAAGGATCAAGAATTCATAATTGATACAAAAGGAGCTGGTGGACAGGGTAAGCTGGATGTTAATATTGCCAGTCCTGTGAGGAAAGCTGTGCCATGTTTGGTGGAGCCAGTTCTAGGCAAAGAGTGCAGCACTGCAAAGTATATCCCCAGAGAAGAAGGACTTTACAAGGTGGATGTGAGTTACGATGGCCATCCAGTTCCAGGAAGTCCCTTCACGGTGGAAGCTGCTCTGCCTCCAGATCCTACCAAGGTAAATGAATAGCCGTTGCTTTTAGCATTTTATGGATTGGTTTTTCCCCACCTAACTTATAAACAACTAATCCTTCTTGGAGACTTCTAGATCTCATTTGACCACCACAGCTTGTGCTTGTGGAGAATGTGATAGGTGGATCTTCAACAATACAGTTTTAAAACCAAGTTGCTATGTGAGAACATGAGTCTGTAAAAGCTTGGTCCTAATTAAATATTTGAAAGATGATTTTCCCTGTTAGCCAAAAGTTGACCAAGGCAGTATCCAGCAATGTTTCTCCCAATATAATACTGATTAGACCAGGTAAGTCAAACTTAATTGGCCCCACAGGTTGGATAAAGGGCATGGGGCTGGTCTGTAGGCTGGATTGGGATCCTTGATCAGCCCCACACTCCGGATTCAGCATGTGGGTCTTCTCCATTATAGGTGTGACACGTGATGCCCATGCCAGCCTGGCCCTGCATGCAAATACGGCATCTGCGCCTCTGGCACGGACATAACATGCAGCATGCAGTACAGGCCTCAGACGGGCTCTGTTGCATGCAGGGCTGGGACCAGCACATGCTGCACATGGCAGGTAGTATTGTGGGCTGGAAGATGGTGCTGGCCTGGATCTGGCCCACAGACTCTTTACATTTGACACCTCTGGGTTAGACTACTGAATTTTATTCAAGTCATGCCATGGTACTTCTGCATAACTGTGTCTCCTTCACCTTGCTGCTTCTGTTTGGCTGTACAAATGCCAGCCTCACTTAGGCTTGACGAGGAAAATGCCTGCTCTTCCATACCTTATGGAAACAGAATGCATAGAAAATTTTCCATTTTAATATAATTTGGACACCTGCTCCCATGAAAGGGAAGCAAAGAACTTTATTTGTTGCTAATCAAGTCATAAATAACAGATTTACCAGGGTGAAGTAATGTGTTGTGCTGCTGCCAGAGCAGAATTGCTACAGAAATGCAATGACACATTGCTGAATGAATATTTTATCCTAGGTAAAAGCTCATGGTCCAGGCCTTCGAGGAGGCCTTGTTGGAAAACCAGCTGAATTCACTATAGATACTAAAGGCGCAGGAACTGGAGGTCTCGGTTTGACAGTAGAAGGCCCCTGTGAAGCTAAAATTGAATGCTCAGACAATGGGGATGGAACATGCTCAGTCTCCTATCTTCCAACTAAACCTGGAGAGTATTTTGTAAACATTCTCTTTGAAGAAGTGCACATCCCTGGTTCTCCATTTAAAGCAGACATCGAGATGCCCTTTGATGTCTCCAAAGTAATTGCTACGGGCCCAGGTCTTCAACATGGGAAAGTGGGCGAACCAGGACTACTGAATGTTGACTGCACAGAAGCTGGGCCTGGTGACTTGGGTGTGGAAGCAGTGTCAGATTCTGGATCTAGAGCAGATGTCCAAGTTCAGGACAATAAAGATGGAACTTACACCGTCACATATGTGCCACTGATTGCTGGATTGTACACGATAAAGATGAAATATGGAGGAGAACAAGTGCCAAAGTTCCCTGCCCATGTCAAAGTTGACCCAGCTGTGGACACGAGCAAAGTCAAAGTGTTTGGACCAGGAGTTGAAGGGAAAGGTAGGTAGGAAGCTTTGAAACATGATGATCTGGGTGCACCTATATTTGTTACTGTGAGGTGAAAGGGAGTGGGGAAATACCACAGGAGTTTGTGGTAAATAGTACCCTAAGTTGTGGGACTTTTTGGTTCTATGCAGAATAGTTAGACCAATAACATGAAAGCAGATGTACCCCTCCCTGTGGTATTGCAGCTCTTGACTCTGACTCTGCGTGGGAACTTAATTTTGTATCTTTTTACCAAAGTATCTTTTAGAGTTAAGTGTGGTTTTTTTTTAATCTTATTCTGCAGATGTCTTCAGAGAAGCTACCACAGATTTCACAGTAGATGCCTCACCCCTAACAAAGACTGGAGGAGACCATGTCAAAGCACAAATTACAAATCCTTCTGGAGCGCCTACAGACTGCCTGGTCAAAGACAATGCTGATGGAACCTATGCGGTAGCATTTACACCCTTTGAGAAAGGTAGCTTATTTCTAATTGCACTAAGGGAGAGTAGATGTCAGGCTGAAAATAGCTGCTTTTTTAAATTTATTTATTTTAATGGATTTGTCAAACTGCCAGCAAATTCAGGTTGTTCATGTGTATAAAATCCATTTAGCTCTGCCACCAGATTTTACTTTTGCAGGGAGTCAGTGGAATGGAGTTACATGTACTGTAACTCTTCATCCATTCAAGTGTATAATCGTAGAAGAACATGCTATTAAGAAACATAAAATGTAAAGCACAATACACAGAGGTAATGCTAAACAGTCAGTTTCTTATGTTGAAGGAAGAGTGATGCCTCTTCCCTATTAACTTAGAACAACAAGTCTTGAATGAACAGGTTCTCAAAGGCTGTCGTTGAGCACTTAAACCACCGGGTTTTTATTTTCCTCTGACAGGCCCACACAGAGTTGAAGTGACTTATGATGATGTACCTGTTCCAAACAGTCCGTTTAAAGTGGATGTGACTGAAGGCTGCCATCCTTCACGTGTGCAGGCCGAAGGACCTGGACTCCAAGAGGCTTTCACAAATAAGCCAAATGCATTTACTGTTGTCACCAGGTAAACATTGCTGGTTGTGTAGAGGGACTGGTAGCCGGCAAGCAGTGCCATGCCTCTTTGATGCAACACTGTATCCTGTATTACTACTACAAATTCTGAACTTCAGATTACTTTTGATCTGTCCATGGAGGTACTGTCCATGTGAGGCCAGCCCATTAAGTGCATTTGTTAGCTCCTAGAACTACTATGAATAGAAGTCCTCAGTGAGACAAGGCAGAAATGAAATTACGCTGACCCTAGCACCTTCCATCCCAAATCATGCACAACAACTTCTATATCTTAACAGGGCTTTTTAACTCATGAGTTTTTAAATGCAAAACATCTAGGGTAAAATGCAGTCAGCCTGTAGTTACTTGATGCAATGACTACTAGATATGCTGGATATACTAATTTTGCAGATACGAAAGAATAAAAATGTTGTTTTTGCAGAGGGGCAGGGATTGGTGGACTTGGAATAACTGTTGAAGGTCCTTCAGAATCAAAAATAAGCTGCAAAGATAACAAAGATGGTAGTTGCAGTGCTGAATATATCCCTTATGCTCCAGGAGATTATGACGTGAATATCACATATGGAGGAGAACACATACCTGGTAAGAGCTCTTCAGATCTGTAGGTACCCTTAACCCAACAGTGAGCTAAATGGAAAGGTCTGCCTAGACATGATGGTACAACTGGCCTTCATATTTGAAACACTGGAGTCAAGTCTTGGCTCTGAAACTTCACGGCATGCAGTGGTTTGAGCCAAGATTTATAGATATGCTTTAAGAAAAAGCTCTTTGCTGAACTTGCATGTCTTACTGGTAGATGCCAATTCTGCTGCTGGGTTGACTGTTTTGTTCTATTGCTTCTGTTTGGAGCACTGAGCAGGCTTTTGAAATTTGTGCTTCTCTTGGGATTTTTAGTAATCTACTTAGAAATATGCCCTGTTTTTAAAGATCACTTGCAAAATTAATTGAAGCCAGACCACTCTGTTTTAGCTACTATTGTGAGCTAGCATAAAGGTATGGACAGGTGCCCAAAGCAATAAAATAAGAAAGCACTTTGTGTACCCGTGCTACATGTACTTCTGATCATTTGAAAGAATGGCTCTTCAGTCTTGGTATCATGGTGTCCCAAATCTGAACTTAATGTGACTTCACCCTCCCCTCTGGTTAGCCCTTTTAGAATGGAATTATTGGGTCAGCACGTAGACTATCGCAGTGTGGGACCTCTCAGTCTAGAAGTGCTCTCTGTTTCGTTCTGGCAATCAATGTTGAAACAAGCAGTAGCTTGCTAACAGTTGACAGGGTGAGGCTAAGCAATCAGCCTCTCAAGTGAGCAAATTACTACAAATCCATCTTAAAAAAAGTTAATTGATGTGAAGGTGATGCTCTACTTTGGGATTCTGTCCCTGCAAAAAGCAGACACGCTTTCCATTTGAAGTGCCCAAACAAGCACTTGCCTGCTTGTTTTACCTGGAAGGAGCACTAGATCTCAAGTGGAAATGCTGCAGTAGTAAATGACCACAACTTTCCAAGTGCCATTTGGCTGCATCAGTTCATGCTTGAACTCATGGTGGCTTTTGCGTAATGTCAAAAATTTAAACACAAAAGGCAGATAAATTGTTAACTTAATTTCTACTGAAATATTTCTGCACAATTAACCTTGACCGTTGTGTATTGAAGAATAATGCACATTCTTACTTGGAACATCAGGTGGAACAGACTCCACCCTGCCAATCCCACTAATTTGTAACTTGGAAAATTCCAAGGGATGGATGTCTGCAGGCCTCTTCATACTCCTGGCTTGTCTTACGTCTGCTCTCCATTCTTGAATGTGAAAAGCAAATGATTTGCAGCTGGGCACTCTACAAGAGCAGGGCAGTCGGGTCACCAGAAAAATAAGTTCATCAGTGAAACCTCAGTTGTGGCCAGCACTCTGGGTCCAGAAAACTGTGGCACATAGCCCAGGTATTTCCAATGGTAGGCTTCAGGCACTTCAGATGTTTCTCTGGTTCTTTCTCCTCATCTCTTTAAGCTGAAGGCTTTACTTTCTGCAGTGAAGTCTCTTCTTTGCTATAGCCCTGTATATTGGTGAGGTGCTTCTTGGAGCCACACTTCCGATACTTGCTTCTGAATGCTGTAATCTTGCTAACAAATGGTCAGACTCTCAAACAAACATGAAATGTCAAGGCTAAGGCCAATTGGCAGTCTGACTCCTGCTCTCTGACTACCTCAGGTGATGTGTTGTACAGAGGTGGACACACAATGGCCTACAAACTTGAGCTGTTTATGGGCAGAATAGTTTACAAGAACTTTGTGAACAATTGAGCTAGCAAATGTTAACTGAGCAAAGTCCATGACAATTAAGTTACAGCAAGTTGGGCTTTAGCCTGTGGCAGAGAAACCATACCTGAATAGTAGAATTAGTAGGGTTGGCCTGCTTGATAGGTGGTGTGCCTCAGTCCAGAGATATTAATGTCACCAAAAAACCCCTTACTTCCCATACTGTAGCCAGTGATGGTCCAGGAAACATCACTCCAGTCCTGCGGTAGCCAGTGGCCATTGAAACTCAGCACTGCTTCAAGTGCTTGATGCAGATGACTGCTGTGAAATCGAGTTATATCATTTATTTGGTCCATCCCAAACTAGACCTCTTTAAACCATTTCTGAAGTGTAGGGCAGTGCTAGTGTGTGCGTCTTCCATGACACTGACACAGGCATAAACAAGGCATAGACACAGTATAGATCTGAACAGTGGTAGCTCTAGAATTTGATGCAGTTTACCCTTGGAAATACCAAGGTTCAAGTTACAGGTGTAGGTTTTTGTCTGCTTCTATCTTGGGTTAACTTTTTTTCTTTTGCTCAGTGTGAACAGGATATAGGTTGGCTTGTTTCAGAAGCTGCCCCTGGAGTTGATCGTTTTTGCTCCAGACCCCAGTGTAACATGCATCAGTTCAACTTATACTGATGATTTGCCCTGATGGTATTATGTGGCTGGGCCCTAGATTTTAATACACTTCATAGGAAAACAGATGCATTTATCCTTTAATATTGAAAGAGAACATGCAGGGATGCAGAAGACTATAAAAACAGGGGGATATGGTGAACATCTACTTCATAAACAGATGAAGCTGCCAATGGCCAAAAAATATGTCCATTAGTACTTTTGCATTGTTTAACTTGTATTGTATTGTATTCTCTTGGTAGGAAGCCCCTTCAAGGTTCCTGTGAAAGATGTCATTGATCCCTGCAAGGTAAAGGTTGTGGGACCAGGCTTAGGAACAGGTGTGAGAGCCAAAACGCCGCAGTCCTTTACTGTAGACGCGAGTAAGGCTGGAATAGCACCTCTTGAGGTTGTCGTGGCTGGACTTAGAGGTAAGGACCTACCCATTCTGAAATATTCCAATAACTTGACTATTTTGAAGGTAACTATCCCCTTCTTTATTAGTGGAGGTTATTTATGATGATCAAATAGGCTGTACCCTTGGATTCTACTCCTATGGCAAAGCCAACCCCATTGATAATTTTGTTCTCTTGAAAAGAGCTGGGTACCCAGTGCAGTACTTGTCACTCTTGGTATCTTCATCTAAAGTTATGGAGGAAGGAGAGAGGTTACAATGGGCTTAGAGTTTTCTGAGAAGTATACATCTCAGTAGGTAAGCATTAAGGGTTGTTTCTAAGATGCAGTGAAGCAAGGTGTCTGGCTTTGTTTTCTGAAAGATGTGATGGACATTACTCAGGCTGGAGAACCTGATGAGAACCAGAAATTACTGGATAAAAAGCAAATTGCCTTTTTCTGCTTAGAAGTTGGAAATCCTGTTCTGCAGAAGTTCTTGTATAGCTTTACTAGTAGGCAGTCGCAAGTCATGCCCATATTCTAAACTTATTGATACGATAGTTTCAGCAATTTTTCTGTGCTTTTTAATAGCACTCCTCTTGTTGTTCTCTGTACAGGAATTATGGTGCAAGGCCAAGCTAATAAACTAAGTGCTATAAGAATTCGTAGCCAGGAGAGGTTAGCCTGTTGATCAGCTCAGAAGAACTTGAATAGATGAAATGGTCTAGCCTAATCCTTTCTTGTGAGGAGAGGGGGAAAAAAACACTAAAATCCTTGAAATAGGGGCTGAAAAAGTTTGATTTCTGTTGCTATCTTAACTAGAGCATACTTCTTAGAGAATAACTTGTTCCTTAAACTTCTGTTTTAATGGGAGTTAAAAAAAAATTATTATGAAAACACCTTTTTGAAATAGTCTTCAGGCACAGCTGACTAACGTCTTTATGCTTACCTAGATCAGTCATGATGGTGATCCACCATTTACTGAATGCCTATGTTTAATTGCCATTTTCTGCATGATACATTTTTTAAGCTATTGATATCTGTACAGCAGATGAACTTAAGTGACTTAGTAAGGAGACTTGGCATCTATACCAATGCCCTGCAAAAGGAAAACCAAATATGTGGCCCTAACAGTGCTTTCTATCTATAGATGTGTAAGTAATTCAAAGGCAATCAAGTAACATTTATCACTGGATGGGGGGAAAATTGAGGCATAGAGGAAGCAGCTTTTCTTGAGGGAGTTGTAGTAGACTAGTGGTAACAAAACTAGACTTCCTGACTAACAGGCCAGTACTAGGCCATGTGGGGTATGTTTTATGCTCTTTTGTCCACGAGGAAATGCAGGCGATCACTCAAGGGGAAGTGTCGAGATCCAACAAAGTTTCCTTTTAAAGAATAAGTGGTGTCTCTGCAATGAAGTAACTGGACCAGTGCTCATCACCAAGACAAGTGTTGGCTTTCGTTTCATGAAAAGGTCCCACTTGAGGGCTTGGCTTAACTAGAAAAATTTAAGTTATGCAAACACGTTTGGACTTTAAGCAATGGTGTATAATGTGTGACCTACAGCTGCCAGTGTTTTAGAACTAAAACCAGTGTCTCATTTTCTGTCAGAAGTGTTGGTCTGTGCCTGTGTAAAACATGAGTGCCCTTTAAGTAATGGTTCTTTAATTCTAGCTGATGAGACGGATTCCCAGTCATGGCGCTCTCCATTGAAAGCGATTTCAGAGTTCTTTAAGGGTGACCCAAAGGGTGAATCTAACGAGACAGGTTTGAATTTTCACTAACTGCTGATAACAATTGCTGCACATAACAAATCCATGTGGAAAGAGCCAAGAATCAACTGTATAAGGCTGCTTTGATTTATAAGCTTTGCATAGCAACTGCATAAACTTCCTTTTATAACTGCTGCATTGCCAGTTTTGCTTGGCTTTTAAAGCCAAAGTTACTACACTTGTTAATATATGGCTTACGTTGAAATGTTGTCTGGATCTACTTTCTCGCTGCATGCCAAATCTAGCTCAAAACTTGCTGTGGAATAGCTTCTTATAAAATCAGGTAATTGGTGCCATTTTCTTAGGATGCTTTTATCTTTTTAATTGTAGTCTTCTGTTAACCTGTTGTCTTTCGGATTGAGTTGGTGGAAGAGTCTCTGCCTATCTGCAGATATTAATTTGTGCAAAATGAGCTGCAAAAAGGGGTCATGAGACTAAAATCACTAAATACTATATACTAACCAGCTTTAGAGCCCAACTCTGGTGCATTCCAGTAACTGTCTGCAGTCTCATAAATGACAGTTCAGGGAACTATAACCTTTCCCTCTTTTTGTAAAGTTCTTCAGATGCACTTGAGTAATTGCCTTTAACCTGAACTATTTTGAAGGGCATGCTTTCTCTTGCAGTGTTCTGTTGGCTTAATTGTACAGCTGGTGCCATTTAATCATCAAAAAGTCTAACGGGCTGCTAGTGATGGATGCTAGGCATATCTCAAATTGGCGGCTCCTGAATATAAAACTGACTTCTGATGCATGCCCACTGCTCATTGGCAGAGGCTTGGATCAAAGATGTCACTTACCATAGAGCTTTAAATCAGCAGATCTCCTTCAAGCTTGAAGCAACAAGACTGCTAATGCAATTCTGCAGTGCCAAAACCGGGATTTGACTAGAGTTGTTCACAAAGAGGCCTGTTTTTCTATTTTAGGAGTGGTGGAGCCTGTTAATGTAGTTGACAATGGAGATGGCACTCACACGGTAACATATACACCTATGCAAGAGGGCCCATACACAGTCTCAGTTAAATATGCTGGTGAAGAGATTCCTCGCAGGTAAGTCAATGAAAGTCTGAATTTTGCCAAAATACCTCCTGCTTAAATAAAACTTTCAGGACATCAGGGCTTGGGTGAACTGTCTTGAAATTCTTAGACTCTCTACTTGACTGACTGAGAGCAGGTTCTGGATATGTGTGTGGGGTGTGCCAGTATATCAAGGCATTTTTAAATTGAGTAAATGCCATGTGCTTCCAGGACTATAATGCAGCAAGTGTGCGTAAGTTAGCCTCTGGTTTGTTTAATCTTGTTCTGCTGGAATTCAGTCTGTATGCACTTGTTTGAGTCTGGCATCTCCATTAAATGTCTGTCTTTCTTTAAACTAAACTAGTCTTCTCCAATATCCTTCTGGTGGAAAGGGCGGGAGTGGAGGATTCTGGGGTGTGCGAATGCCATTCAGGAAAGCTTCTTGGGGCTAATAGACGCTAAGCACAGCACCCAAACAAAAAGTGCTTTTGTTAGAGGCATTAAGTTTGCTTACTACAGGATACCACATATGTAATCAGTGTTAAGTTTTCATGGATTGGTGAAAATCACTTTTTTTTTTTTTTTTTCTTTAAGTCCTTTCAAGGTAAAAGTGCTTCCTACATATGATGCCAGTAAGGTGACTGCAAGTGGGCCAGGTCTCAGTTCGTATGGCATACCAGCCAGCCTACCAGTAGAGTTTGCTGTTGATGCTAAAGATGCAGGGGAAGGGCTTCTCTCTGTGCAGATAACTGTAAGTAATGGTCCTCGTGCTCATTGGTCAGTAGTGGCTGTTCTTGATGGGTGTGGGGTGGCTGACACAGCCTGCCTTGGCTCTGAAGGGCTGTGGCCTGGAATATCTGGTGTTAAAATGGTTGTGCACTGACTAAAACTGAAGCTTTGGTTCAGACGGTCTTGCCTGAGAGGTTTTAGTGTCCAGTGACAGACCACAAAACTGCCTTCAGAGTGAAACTCCTTACTGTGAACCTGATCTCACCTGGGTCCCAAATCAGTCTTGTGGCTGCAGTGATTCTCTTAAGGCTGCTGTACCTAGTGTGATACTGTGTCACAAAGCAGCTCCATTGTGCACTATATCTCTGACTAGCACCAATGCCTGTCAGAACCTCCTACTTTGCAGTAGCTAAAGAAAGTTTCAGAAAAACCCAAAGGCCATGTTGGCAGCATGTCTGCTATCTTGCAGGGGGTAGTTGGGCACTGTGTTCTATTCCTTGTAATTCAAAGTCCTAAGACTTGATAATAGGGCCGAGCCTCTACTCATTTGACCAGTAGGGTCTCAGTGCTTGGAGGTTGGTGATAAAGCACAAGCATGTTCGATTTGAATTTTATACCAGAAGTTGCAATTTAGCCATGAAGTGTGCTTCATAATTGGTTAGGCTGGAAACTTAATCCAAAGCTGCTTTGTTAGAAGCAGTGCTTGTGTAGAGTTGATGCTTGCTTTTTTAGAGGAGCTTTTTCTAGTGAAGCTGAGGCATGCGCTACTCCAACCAAGTCCATGCAGATCCTTAATTGTTGTAAACACTTCTATTATTCCTTGTAGTAACATTTGAATGTCCATTGTAGTGACAGTCAAAGGTTAATGGGGACTCCGTATAACATGCTGAACTCATAAAATGGTACAAGACACTGCTACCAGGGAAGCTTAAGAGTAGGCCAAATAATGCTTTTGCTTGTCTCTAATCTTTCAGGAAGCAGCTGGCTGCAAAGCTTTTTTTAATGCTAGTTATATTCTCCTGGAAGCCTTGTTCTGACTTCAGCCCTTGAAGTCGGGTTACATTAGCCATTGTCATATGGCTAGATACTGGAAATGAGTAGTACTTCCTAAAATCTGTGTCTGAATAATGAGCAATTAATTGTAAGATGATTGCAGAAGTCTCTTATCTGCAGTCTGCATACAAACAAATTGTGTCTAGATGCAGGACACCTTTAGTTGTCATTCCTTGGCAGATTTACAAAGGTCTCTTAAATCGCACTAGGAACAGGCTCTTTTTAAGTTCTTAAACTGCTTTTAAGAGACCTTTGGGGCACGCTTCAAGGTATGGTTCTGACAGGATTTATTGTTCTGCTAAAATAGATGCATCGTTTAAGTCTGTGAAATGTGTGGTCTGAAGACTTGGATTTTCTTTCTTAGTCAGTACTTCACTTGTGCCCCCCCAGGATCAAGAAGGCAAACCGAAGAGAGTTGATGTTCACGATAACAAAGATGGCACTTACGCAGTAACTTATGTCCCAGACAAGACGGGCCGCTATACAATTGGTGTTAAATATGGTGGAGATGAGATCCCGTCTTCTCCTTACCGAATCCGTGCATCGCCAGCTGGGGATGCCAGCAAGTGTTCAGCAACAGGTAGGATCCAAGTCTTGTCTGTCCGAATTACTTGGTGTGAACTTAACTACTGGAGAAGCGTTTTCCTCTTTCTTCGGTCAGCACACCAAAAAATATTACAGAGAAGTTCATGGGGTGGGGGTGGAGTTTGCCAAGAAAATAAAAATCTGCGGGAAATAAACATGGAATCTAAGTAGCTGTTTTCTGTAGCAGGCACCAAGGACTTATGTAATTTGTGTCCCAAAGTGGTTTTTTTAGAAGCCATTTTCAACAGGATTGGTCATCTCCAAAGCCATGTTTGTGGGGAGAAGGCTTGCTGCTTTAACCTTGGCAAGAGAATGTCCTTAAGCAAAACCCTTTAGCGGCCTGTTAGATGTCTTTGGGCTGCATCTGTAGCATGAGCTTGACATGGAGTTTTGCTGAGAACTTGTGGATGGGGGCTGTGATTGAAGTAGTTGTTATGAGTTTAAATTGACAACACTTATATTAACAAGAAAAAGGACTTTGCGCTAGGCACTGTACAGAGACGAAGCTCTCTGTTTGAAGTTGCCGTCCGTAAGGCTTGAATCTAAAGATCTGAAGCTTCTAAACTGCCGGGCGTAGAATCCCGCCTGTACGAGCCCCGGGGCAGGAGGCGCTGCTTCCCGCCGGGGCAGCTAAGGTCCAGATTCTGGGCTTTCCCTTTGGGTCTTTCTTGGTAAGTAAAGGGAACTGCCTTTCATTTGTGAATTTAAAAGGTAAAGAGGCACAGTGCTGTGAAGAGTCTCCTAGCAAGATTGACTTGAGTGTTAGTAAAAACCTTTCCAGCTCAAACTAGTGCAAGCTGGCATCCAGAATCTGGGGAGGGAGGTTTTTACGAGCTCTGACACTTGCAAGCTTTTAAAATAACCGAGTTGGGTTTTTGTCACGGCTGAAGCAGATGTACAGCAGGTATCACGTTCAGAATTGAGGTAAAAGCATGAGTTTCTTGAGCCATGCTGCTGCTTGATTTGGTGATTTACGCAGCATGGTTGAGAACAGCAGCAAAGTTGTATCAACAGGTTTTTTCAGATGTTGGCTTAAATGTAGCATCTCTCTTTGAAATACTTCTGACTTCAAAGATGAAAATGTAGGATCTTTCTGGATAAGCCTTAATGTGGTCTCCAGAGAAGAAATGCTGAAATATATTACATGAAACTAACCAAAAGCTAACTGTTTTGAATAGGCTGAAGTCGGCAACAAATGTCAGCCTTTTGTGCTTTAACAGCGGGTATCCTAAATGTACTGCAAATCTGAGATGTGAGATTTGTATCGTGCCCTGGTTCACAAACCATAACCTCCTTTTAAAACCTGAATTTGTCTGGAGCATGGTGGTGGTGGACTCCTTAAGTATGCCAGAAAAGACCTCAGAATATAGTGACTTCAAATGCGGGTACTTGGTAGAGCAGTAAAGACCCTCCACAATTAACCTAGAAGGAAACATGGTCATCTATTGTGAATGTGTCCCACTTCTTAATTATAGTCTAAGTCAGTCTAGGTAGTCTAGGGTAGCACTTTTATTTTATTTCATTGAGCCATCATGAAGCCCATGGCTTAAGCAATAAAAGGCAAAGTGCTACTTGGCTTGGTGTGGAGTGCTCTCTAAGGTTTTATTAAGGGCTTTAGGTTATATGGTAAAAGCAAATTTGGTGGCTTTTCCACCAAAGTTTATTGCAATGTTTCCTTGCCCTGTCTACTTTACTGAGCTGTAGAAGACTAGGCTTTAAAGTTGGACTTTGTATCAGAGATGGTTTTTTGGAATACACGAGTGGTGTAAAAAAGTAAAGCATGCTTCCTGGAACTATAGCTTTTTATAAAGAGCACTGCAGCTCATAACACTACAGAACTGGCCTTGTGACCACATTACCATGTCATTTTTAGCTAGCACGTTTTCATTGTTTAGCACTTGTTCCTCTAATAGAGTATTGACCTCTGTGTTATACCTACTAGAAGAACCTGACTGAGGGAGCGACTCCAAACACTTCCTGTAATCCAAATTGCCTTCCAGGTCCTGGCATTGCATCCACCGTGAAGACTGGTGAGGAAGTTGGTTTTGTAGTAGATGCTAAATCTGCAGGGAAGGGGAAAGTAACTTGCACAGTTTTGACACCTGATGGTACAGAAGCTGAAGCAGATGTTATTGAAAATGAGGATGGGACTTACGATATCTTTTACACTGCTGCTAAGCCAGGAACCTATGTGATTTATGTCCGTTTTGGTGGAGTGGATATTCCTAACAGCCCATTTACTGTAATGGTAAGAAATTTTTGTAAAGTTACTATCCATGGTTTTGGTACTTTTTTTGCTATATATCCATATTACCCATCTGACTTGTCAAGCAAACAGTATTTATAATTTTTCTAATTAAGAACAGCTAGTTATCTAATCTGTTGAACATGCTATACTTGCCCAATCATCTTTTTATAAATACTTTGTGCAACTGCCAACTAAAGGTCACTTAGAGGTCTGTTTTTAAAGGGGTCTCTATATGATGCACTAAGATGGAGGCTTTGACATTTCTCCTTCATTCGTAGAAGCCATTGGAGAGAGACCCTCAAAACACTGAGCATGAGGCTTAGCTTAACACAACCTCAAAAGATGTTTGTGAAACTAACCGGTTTGTCAGCACACTGAACCTCAAGACAAGGTTAAGTGTAGGATGACTCTGGAAAGGAGAACAAACTTAGTCAAAATACTGGCTGTTTCTCCAAGGCAAAACAGCATGTCTCAGCGTTTCTTCCTAGTGTTATGAAAAACAAGGCTTTAGCCTTGTACTAACAACCTAGGCTGCCTCAAGCATACTTGCTTTTTTCCGTAGTTGCGCTGTCATGTAGTGTGCTGAAAGTCATAGATTTGATTTGATACTAAGGGGTAAAAGTGGCTGGTTGTTATAGATGCAATAAATGGCATTGTCCCGCTAATCTTGATTTCAAGGCTTGATATGCTAGTGCTGCCCTTCAAACCCAGACGCATGTTGGTTATTTATACTAGTTAACTTGGCAGATTGCTGCTAGCGTCCCCGAGGACTCTTTCAAGTGAAACATGATTCCTTGCGCAACTGCTCGGCATTCCACAGGAAATGCCTCTCGAGGTCAATGATCCTATTCCCAGGCCAGTCGAACTTGCCACTTCCTAACTTACTAAGCCATTATGTATTTGACATGAGTGTTCTACTTGATTAACTAGTGAAACAGCAATCACTTTGTTTTTATAGGCCCTAGCTCAGTATAAAATCCCAGTGAGCTGCTTCACTTCAGGGATTTGCAGTGGCATGAACTGGCAAAGCAAGAAAAGGCTTAACTCCATCTGAAGTGGAGTGACCTAATGTTGATTTTGTCTGAATTTCTGTGGTGTGCTCAAGCAGGAGAGACTAATGTTCAGGTCATTCTGTTGGCATGTGTGGGGGAAGGGAGACTGCATTGGGGCAAGAACAAATTGTGTTTCAGCAGCAAGAACCATATTCTTCCAATTCGTGGACTTGGTAGCTGTCACTTTAGTTGGGGATTGTTTAGTTCCTCTGGGGAATCAAGGGGCTCCTATAGACGTGCAGGGAACTGGCTCTGATGGACTGGAAATCCAGTCTTAATAGAGTCGCCTGGAACACGGAGATAAATGCACTCGAGCAGACTCTGGTGTCAAGTAGATCGGCATCCCCATGCTGAAAAATGGTGGCGGGACACTTTGAGCTTTAGTTCAAAGTTCCCCGCCACCATTTTTTGGCATGTGGGATCCTGACGCATGTGACGCTTGGGTGCTCCCAATTTAACGTGGCTTGCTGATTTAAAGCACGCTCCCCCTCAGCTCCTGGAGCATGTGTAAAAATGCCCAAAACGTCCTGGGAGATGACACCAAAGGACTGACAGGGCCATTCATATATTGTCAAGCATTATGTAGTCTCTAAAAGTGTTAATTCCTTCAGCACTTGGTATCAAATTAACCTCCGTTTGCCACTAACCAGGCTAAAGATGCAGATGAAGTTGCAGCATTGTCACAGGAGCCAGTAAGCGCATGCCCCCCTGGATTTCAACCTTGGGTACACAATTTCTTATTTTTCATCCTACATTCCATTTCAGATGTGACAGCCTGCTTCTTGGAACTGCTTGAATCTGTCTTGGTCTTCTGTGGTCACTTATTCATTGCTTTCCAGTTGATCAACTAGTTTTTGGGCTTTGTGCTTCATTCAAATCTGTTTCCCGTCACTGCTTTAAAGGGATTCCTCCAATTATTGTAACATTTCAAACATGAAGAGGACCAGAGCACTTCTGCCATTTCTGTAATTCAGCCTTGCAGTACACGTTGGAAACCTTCCCAGTAGAATGGCAAGCGGTGGCTAGAATCTAAAACTGCAGCGTGAAACTTGTATTTCATCAGTCATGTTTGCTGCTTGACGTTATAATCACTCTGCCGCTCAAATCACCTTCTCTTCTAGGCCCTGAGTAACTAAACCCTTTGAGATGCAGCAATTTTTGGGTCTTGTCCATACTACGTTGTCTTCCATGTTTTCTGCCGTTTTCTGGTGTGCCTTCCATGTTCATTGTCTACTTTTTCCATTTGGATCTATGCTAACTTAATTATTATGGGTGGCTTTACTGGGCAGCTGTTCCAGTTAAGCAAAATCCAGCAGTTGATTCATTGCTCTGCAGTAATTATCGCAAACTCTAATTCCATGTCATCTTGATACAAAGATTAAATTTTGATCTGTTTATCTTTTTGTTTGTTTTTTAAAAAGAGATTTGTTTTCATTCTATTATACTTACAAGGCTTGACTTTTCTTTAGGTCACAGAAGAAGCTTACGTTCCTGTTGGTGACATGAATGGCATGGGATTTAAGCCCTTTGATATGGTTATTCCATTTGCTGTAAGGAAAGGAGAAATAACAGGTAAACACCACATTTCCATTACAGCAAGCTAAGTAGAATCCTGCTTTTCACAGCACACTTCACCATTTACGACTACAGAATATATGCTGGGAAAGTCGCTTTGAACATATTAACCTACTTTTTTTTTTCTTTTCTTGACTGATTGTGCACTTGAAACATATGGCTGCATGTGGTGTAAGCTAAAGGGCAACAACACTAAGCACTTGAGGCGTAATTAAATTTTTAAATAGGGAAAAGGAAGTCTGAGATGATGCCGAGAATTGCTGTACGCTGATATCAGTTGTTCCTCTAGAGGAGAGCTCTTACTGTACCTGGAATACTTGCTTAACTCTCAGACTTTGTCTCTGAGTAAAATCTCCAGCACAGATGATGGCTGACCGTGATCTACTGATGGCCATGTAGCATCTCTTCTGATGCTTCTGAAAGTGCCGGGCTTTCTTAACAGACTGCCTACGTCAGTTAACAAGTCGGCTAGGCTTCCAGTCTAGCTCTCGGAACACTGCACCTAAGATTGCTGCAAACAATTACTGTAAAGGGCTTTTTACTGGTTCTCTACACTCCTCATGGCTGATGCCAAATCCAGTAATGTGCCCACTTGTTCTTCAGCACAGAATGTGTTGCGATTTGTGGCTGTTGATCTAATGAGATTGCTTTAGGATGCTCAAATCTCTCTCCCTTTTCCAAATAGCTGCAGGCAAGCACTTTGCAAAAGCCAGTTGAGTAAGATGTGCATTATGTATATCCCTTTAAACTTTCTATGTGCAAAACTGGTTATGCTAGATCATTAGGCTATTCACCATATACATTGCCTCTACATTGCATTTATTTAGCTAAGGTAGAAAATGTTTGATATTCCCACCAGTCTATACCTGAACTGGCAGGCAAGTCGCTTTTAATTGTTTTAAATATTTGGATGTAATATTACCTAGTGCTCCTTTTAATCTGGCTCTCTTTTTTGTGGGGAGTGCATGGGAATCTGTTCTAGCTTCTTTTAGTGCAAATTCCTTCTCTCTCCTAGGGGAAGTGCATATGCCTTCTGGAAAGACTGCTACACCAGAGATTGTGGATAACAAGGATGGCACAGTAACAGTCAGATATGCTCCTACTGAGTTTGGACTGCATGAAATGCACATAAAATATATGGGAAACCATATTCCAGGTGAGTACCTGACAGCAACTGCTGTAGTGGGATCCAGTTAGAAGTGTTTGTGCCATTCTCCTCTTACAGGCTGGGCACAACTGAGTGTGCTGTTAACTTGTCAGTGTTACTCTTCAGGCTTCCTGGAAGCTCATACAAGTACAGTTTTATTTCTGAATAGATGCTCTGAGCATCCCACAGGGGAACGGAAGTGGTAGAGCAAGTGGAGGGAGGGGAGCTTTTAGTGTGGTTTCGCAGTACAAGCCACACCTAAAATGGATTTGGCTTTTGGGAACCAGCTCTAGTGGCATTTACTGTGAAGTTGAAACGTATAATTTTCTAGCTACACTTTTTGTTTTCAGTGAAATGTACTGTTTTTGGAGGTATACAAAAGCAGTACTTAGTACATGTGTAAACTAAAGACTGTCATAGCATAAACATTAGAAACTGTGGTAAGAACCCAGTTGCTGAAACTAATACAAAAAAAAAGCAAGTTCTTTTTCCTGTTGCAATAAAACTAGAAGACCACATCTATACTACATTCATCTTTCATACTCCAGGATTGTATGAATTCCCCCTCCCCCCCCCCCCCCCCCCTTAAATCAGCATCTTCCTCTAAAGTCTCCAGTTATTATCCTGGAACTCCTAGTCTGGTTTCATAAATTGGGTGATGTGTATCGGTTGCCCCATGCACACTTCAAGTTCAAGCTAGCTCTGCCTACTTCATCAGAACCATGGGAAACAAGATGCAAAATTCCAAAACTTGCAGCTCATTTAAAAGGGGTTATAAATAAGTCTTCTTTTAACACTTTGTAAATTGACCTGTTCTTTTGTACATAAGATCATGAGTTATAGAAACTAAACTTGTGCAACAGCTCACTTAAACTGAACGGAGAGTTTCGTGCCATCTATACTTGGTATCGCCTGCATCCTGTGGGCTTTGCACGATGAGTAGAAAGCCTGAGTGTTGGGCAATACTTCTGTTCTGGGTAGGGGTAGGAAACTGATGTGCAATGATGTTGATTTGCTTAAGTTCACATGGGAGGCTTGTGGACAAACAACATGAAAAAACCTCCTGATTATTTTTTTGTTCGTTTGTTTCAGCTGTAAAACCTTGCATTTGATCTGTGGCTAATAAACTGCTTCCTGAAACTCTTGCCTTAGTATGTAACTTTAGTATTCAAAATCTGCCAACTACTATAGCTTGAATTCTCAAGCACTAGCTAGTAATTGAACTAGCTACTGTATTGTCTTACACTGTTTTGAAAGTTATAAAGGAGTGCACCATAGTGCCATGATTCAGCTACTTTAGAACAAGCAATATTCGATCAGTGTTATAATTCATTATTTTGAGTAATTTTAAGAATTATATGTGAGGTGAGTTTGCAGAAAAGTAAACTAGTCTGCATCCAAGGGAGTGTAGACCCGGAAGTGGACCAGAAGTACTTCCAGTCCACTTCTGGGTCCACCGCTAAACACATGGGGGTGTCCCCCGCACTCCTGTGGCACACTCAATCTGCCCCAGCATCGCAACATTCATGAGCCATCTGGTACCTTGAGGTATGTAGAAAAAACATTTTAAACTGTATCTGTGCCCAAATCACTGATTCTCCGAATCGGCATCGAATCTTCAGATTTTGATTCGGCCAGATCGAGTCGGGACAGTGATCTGAATCAATTAATCAAATCGCTGTTCCAGATTCGGGCCAAATCCGGATCGAATATGACCCATTTCACACACCCCTGTTTTGTAAACCATTATAGTGGTCTAGCAGACTTTCCGATATGTATTTGCTGATAAAAGTAAGGTTCTCCAGAAGTACTGGTATCAAATGGTCTTAGGAAGGTTAGGATCTTGTCAAGCTGTGGATTTATTCAGTGGCTTAAACCCTTTGTTTTGTTTGGAGAATTTTAATGCAGTTCAACGAAGGCCTTTTCAATCCTAAAAATGTGATTATTCTTTTGTGCTTGCTTTTTCTTCCTAGAGAGCCCATTACAGTTCTATGTGAACTATCCGAACAGTGGAAATGTGTCTGCTTATGGTCCTGGCCTCATTTATGGTGTAGCAAATAAACCAGCAACTTTTACTATTGTCACAGAAGATGCTGGAGAAGGTAAGATGACTCTTCTTTCCTTGCCTAGGTTCAAACACACACATAGTAAGTAAACACTCGTGTACATAGTACATCCCTCAAAGTGAGTACTGAAGTTGGGGGGGGGGTACATATCTTTTTCATTAGCCTATAAAGATGCATATCTACCCTGCCTGCTGAAGTTAAGCAGTAGACCATTTGATTACTTTTTTTTGTAATGGAAAATTGAAGACTCAGCATACGTAAACTTGTTCCAGCCAAACCTTATTTTGCTGGGTTATAACTTCTATACAGCAGAGCAAAGACGGGGGTCTGAAATTATTTGTTCAGGTAGTGATGTGAAGATGAAGTGTCTGGCTAAAAGAATATTCAGGTATAGAAACTTAATTCCCTAGGTAACAAACTGTCTTTTTAAAGTAAATTCTGTTTATTTCATTAGGCAAATAGAGTGGATTAAATGAAGCCCTGCTATGGTTTCTAGTTGGCTGTAGCAGAACATATTGCTGATGGTTTTTGGGTTTTTTTCTGGAAGGGTAAAAGTTGCAGTTTGCAGCTTCATTACTTATTGGGTGAATACATCCTATCTCTGTCACTGATCCCTCCTCCTATAAAGAGAGCCTCCTTCCAAGTGTGTTTAAACTTGAATCAGGTGATGGCATTAACAATTATTCTTGTACTAGGTGGACTGGACTTGGCCATTGAAGGACCTTCAAAAGCAGAGATTAGCTGCATTGATAACAAGGATGGCACTTGCACAGTTACTTACTTGCCCACCCTACCTGGAGATTACAGCATAATAGTCAAATACAACGACAAGCATATCCCAGGCAGTCCTTTCACTGCCAAAATCACAGGTATGAAGGACACAGTGTAACAAATTCCTAACTGCCTCAGAAGGAGCTACAGATGGTTGGTTTTGAGTACAATAACATTGCAATAGAGAGAGTCCCATTTAAGCAGTTTCGCTTCAAGACATCAGGCCAATCCAATGTTCAGAGACGGGTTCAGCAAATTCTTGGAGTTCGTTGGGAATAGCTTTGATACGTATGGTAGATGGGCTGGATGGCATGCACCCTAGGGTATCGAAGTAATTGGTAGAGGTAATTCCAGAGCCATGAGCTGTCCTCTTGAAGTCATGGAGGTTGGGTGGAGTCCTGGATGATCAGAAAGGGCTAATATAGTGCCCATCTTTTAAGTAAGGGAAATGAAGAAAGAGCCCCAGGGGATTATAAACTAGTCAGCATGAAAAGATACCTGGAAAGATCATGGAGCAGGTCATTAAAGAATCCATTTTAAAGCACCTAGAGGAGAACAGCCAGCATGGGTTACCAAGAGTAAATCATACCTGACCAACCTGATTTCCTTCTGTGATAAGTTGACACAGGCTCTGTTGGATGCAGGGAGAGCAGGGGACTTCAGCTAGGCTTTTGGTGTAATCCTCCCACAACATTCTTGTTAATAAGCTAAGGAAATGGATTAGATAAAAAGTACTGTGACATGGTTACATACTGACTGAATCATTGTGCTCAGTGAGTAGTCATCAGTGGCTCATTGTCTAGTTGGGAGGAGCTACTAAGTGTGGTTCCCCAGGGGTCTCTTTGTTCTGGTATTACTCAGTATCGTCACTAATTATCTGGATGATTGGATCGAGTGCAGACTGAGAATTTTGTGGATGACACCTAGTTAGGTGGAATTCCAGACACACTGCAAGGCAGGTCTAGGGTGCAGACACAGACCATCTGCAGCAAAATGCTGCCCAGCAGAATAATTGCATGTACAAATGCTGGCTGAGGATGACCAGCTAGGTTGCACTATTACAGAGAAGGACCTGTTGGTTTTGGTAGACCATAAGCTGTATATGAGCCTAGGAAGCAAGGTTTATGAGGAAAGGCTGAAATAATTAGGGTTATTTGGTCTAAAGAAGACTAGATTGGGGATTTGAAGCACGTTATCAAATACCTGAAGGGTAATGAGAGTACAGTGATGGATTTTTCTCTCTGGCTGTAGGGGACGGAACTAGGAGCCATGGCTTCCAGCTGCAGTGTAGGAAGCTTTAGGTTGGCAATTAAGAGGATCTTTAAGACCTGTGAAGGTGGTCAAGCATTGGAACAGGCTACCCAGAGGAGCTGTTGAATCTCTATCCTTGGCAAGTTTTAGGAGCAGGTTGGACAGATGATTGGCTGGGATGGTTTCTTTGGGGATGATCCTTCCCTGAACGGGCCTGACTAGATCTTGTGTGGTCCCTTCCAGCCCTACCTGCTTATGATCCTAAGCCTGTACCTAAGGCTAGTAACTTGATCTCATTCAGTGTTTGGTACCAAACATAGTGAAATTCCAATTCCACATCGGTTAATGTGTTAAAAAGGATGAAGGGAGGCCTCTAGATCAGGCTGCCAGGTCCAACATTTGCTCAGAAGCTGAGTATATAGGTGCTCTGAGCTTAAAGCTCTGCATCTTTGCACAACAACTATGTAACGTTAATCGGCTCCTTCAAGCGTTGCCAGGCTGAACAGAAAAAATCCTTTGTTATTTTGTAGTTGTACAAGTTCTGTTACTTCTTAAGAGGCTGGAATTCTATCCTTTCTTTGGGGAAAAATAGATATATTGTAATTTATTTAGGAAGCAAATAGGATGGAGGTTCTTCTGTACTTGTTACTTATCTAGAGACTAAGTCAATTTTAGGCAGTTTGTACTAACTTATGTCTGATTTGAAAGTACTTCTCAATGAGTGTGAGCTCTCAAATGATAAAACAGAAGAAAGCCAGGTGAACTATGTGCTTAAATACATTTAGTCTGGCAGACTGCTGGCCTGTTTGTTTTGTTGTTGTTTTTTTGTTTTTTAAATCTAGTAATACAGTATGCTCACAGGAACTTTCTGTTCTTTCCATAGATGACAACAGGAGACGGTCCCAAGTTAAACTTGGTTCTGCTGCTGACTTCTTGCTGGACATTAATGAGACAGATCTGAGTCTCTTAACAGCTAGTATTAAAGCTCCATCTGGTCGTGATGAGCCTTGCCTTCTGAAAAGGCTACCCAATAACCACATTGGTAATGTTGCAGTCTGTGCATTTCGCATGGGTTTTCCACACACCCCCTCCCTGCCCCCCCACGCACCTACTCCCCCATACCATGCAAAATAATAGCTTTTTCCAGTTACTGCTGACTTACCACCGTACCAAATATGCAGGTCTCAAATGTCAGTTGTCATTTGTTTGGCTGCTGCAGCAGCCAGGGACAGAACGGCCAGGGAGGCTGGCCTCCTGGCTCACTATTTACATGGTGTGCTAAGTTGCGGTTGAGGCACAAATACTACCATTGGCATGGTGGCACCACCAGTAAATTCATCCTCTTGGATGCATGGAATCCTCCCCGTTGGCCCTGTGACTAAGAGTCCTTAAGAATAAAGGCTAATTTACATTCCAGCTACAAGGCTGCTTGATCTGTCAGGTAACTCTTTTAATCAATATTGACACTTTAAGACAATTAATCAGCTTGCCTTATTTGTACTCTCACGCTGTCCCACAGGCATCTCATTCATTCCACGGGAAGTAGGAGAACACCTTGTCAGTATTAAGAAGAATGGTAGCCATGTGGCAAACAGCCCTGTAACCATCATGGTGGTCCAGTCTGAGATAGGAGATGCCAGCAGAGCAAGAGTTTCAGGACGTGGCTTGACAGAAGGACGCACTTTTGAGATGTGTGACTTCATTGTAGATACAAGGGATGCAGGTTAGTACCATGTGGAGGATCTGTTTTATAATGGTGCTTCAGAACATTTTCCTGAGAAGGAAAATGAACCGTTTTGGTCAATGCCATATCTCAGTTCTCCATTTCCCACAGTTCTTATGCAATAATTGGGATTAGCTAGACCAAAAGCATTCTGGTGCCTCCCTTCTCCCCTCCTCAGGATCACTGGGACTCTTGTCCTAAAGCAACAAACACTGAGTTGTTTAACTGCAAAATGTGAATTAGGTGTAGATTCTCTCATGCTTGAATACTTAGTACCATTAATTTTAAAATTTTACCTTTTGTATGAAGAGACTGCATTCTAGTATACTAGAAGCCAGCTTTAAAGCTAACTTCTCTAAAAGTTGACTTTTTTTGTTTTTCCATAAACTGCTAGTTACTTCCCAAGATCCAAATACACCTGAAACTACTTCCACTCAACATCATGGCATTTTAATGCTTATTTATCTCTCCATTCTTAGAGTAATCATGGTAGGGTCATATGTGTCTGGGTCACACGTGCCTAGAACCATCCTTAAAGTTTTGTGACTATTGCATCCTGTGCTGAAATGCTGCATCAGTTGCTGTGAAAATCAGCTTCCAAGGTTTTGAATGTTTTAATCTTGTCTCACTGTGAAGCTTTGTTCCAAACTCAGTTGGAACGTACCTGGGACTAAGCTAACTAATACATTGCAGGTTATGGTGGAATCTCACTGGCAGTTGAAGGACCTAGCAAGGTAGATATTCAAACAGAAGATCTTGAAGATGGAACCTGCAAAGTGTCATATTTTCCAACTGTACCTGGTGTGTACATAGTATCTACTAAATTTGCAGATGAGCACATTCCAGGTAAGAGAATGTAACAGAGCCTGTCACGTACTTTCCCTATGCTATAAATCGGAGGGATGTCTAGACCTTCCTGTTTTGAGACGGGCCATTATGAAGTAACACCTTGAAGGGAAAAAGTGCTCTGCATCTCTGGTTACATTGACTAATCCATTGCAACCTTTAGTGTCACAGTGATGATAAGGGGATAAAATCTTGGCTGAGAATATAGGGGGCGAGTGTAATTAATACGTGGGTCCTGGCCTGACGCGGGCCCGAATTCCTGCTTCAACCAGGACACGGCCAGTATGTCCAAGACTCTTCCTCAAGCCTAATGGCAGCAAAATAAAGGGAAAATATGCTTGGGACTTTACTCCCCTGGATTCAATTCCTTTGAATTCAAGCTGCGTACTAGTAAAAATGTAATCCTGATGGAGCCAGTACTTTGAGACAGTGCTCAGTTAAGAGGCTAGTCAGTCTTCTACAGACTGCTTCAGAGCTTGGGGGGGCTTGATGAAAGAAACTTGAATATGCGAGAGTAGTAGCTTCCTCCCTAAGACTAGGGTTTGCGTGCATGCACTTTTTTTCCCCTTTGTCCCTGAAAAAAACTAGGGTGGTCCTTCTTGGAGAGCATCCAAAAGGCATTGCCATTAATTTTGTTATATCTTCAATACTATATGGGGTTTTTAGCAAGTGGTACCAATATAATATGGAAAAGTGAACTCTTTTTTTAGATGCTTTACTGTTCAATATGAGGAGTAAAGGGCCAAAACTTAGCAATGCAGGTTATATGCATTTATCATGTTTACTTTGGCTACCTATCAGCTAAATGTCTCCTGAATGTCAAATATATTATGCTAACTAAAAGTATAAGGAAACTTTTGTTTCAATCCTACCCTTAAGTTTACAATCTGTCATATATTTACCCAAGAAGAAATTACTTGCTGTGCTTCTTACAGGTAGTCCATTTACTGTGAAAATAAGTGGTGAAGGAAGAGTGAAGGAGAGTATCACACGTACAAGACAGGCTCCCTCTGTAGCAACTGTTGGAAGCATATGTGATCTTAACTTAAAAATACCAGGTAAACTAGGTCACTCACTATATGAGCCTACTTGAGTATAGGCTTTCTCATCTTCCGTGGTTAGGGCTTCACTTTGTCCAAGCCCAGTAGGTATAATGTAGTGGGAAGAAATTAATCTCAAATGTTGACTTATTGGACATGTTGTTAGGGGTGAAAACAACGTATCTTAATGATGCAACTGAAACACATTACAGGTATGAAAAAGTAATATTGTTAATGTTGTCCAAATGAAGGAATAAGCAGTTTCATGGGTAAAATCAAGCCATCAAGCACAGTATACAATGAGCTGGGAGGCAGCTCTGTACAAATTTGAGTTCTTGCTTTACCCACTAGCAAATGTGAGGGTAGTGTAGACTGTCAAAACTGACTAGGTGTGACCAATCTTTGCATCCTTTTTATCACTTCCTTGGTATTTGCAAAAAGGTGGTATGGGAAAATGGTCAGTGAGGTTCCTCATTGAGCAAATGGCATTTAAATGCTCATTTTATACTAACAAGGTTGGGTGTTTTAAAGGTTGGGCTTGGTTACTGTAGCAGTACTGCATGCTTACTTAAATTTACCACTTCCACTACAAACACTTTTTAAAACCGCTGTATTCTGACTTCCTTAACTCCTTTCATGTTTTTTTTTCTCTTTCTTCCCCCCTTCCCACTTTATTTCCTTATTGCCTTTTCTTAGTTGCTTGGTTCCAATTGGCTACATCTCTGGAGAAACTTTCTCACTTCTGTTACCACTCAAATTCCACTTTTATGTCTGCTGAGCTGAAGAATAATCATCAGACTCAATTGAGAGGACCTTGGTGTCCTGTTGTCATGGATGGACCAATTGGTGTCAAGAGCTGTATTTGCCCATCAGTTTGTCTTTTGGGTCCTGAGCAGCTTGATTTGCACAATGCAGGTTCTGTAAGGATGGAGGGTGTGTTTTAGCACTGGGCATGTGGAGTCAGAGGTTGGCAATGTGCTCATTTTTTAACTACCTGGCATGCCTTGCATAAATTCCTTTAACAGTTGCCATGTTAAAAAGAAAATGTTCAATAAGCAGAAGCTTAATGTAGGATACTTCCAGAGATTTTAGTAAAAGCTAACTGTGCAAACAGATTTCACTCTAATCAAGAAAAGGACTGCAAGGCCATTAATGATTAATCATAACACAGCCCTGTTTTTAAAGGGTATCAACACTGTTTACTTAAATTTTGAAAGTAAGAAATAACTCTTCTTATGGTGAACTAATACATTATTTTAGATGGTTTAGGTTAAACAATGTTCTAAACTTGTTCCAACAATATTGATTGCTTGGTTTGATAAAATTAATACTGCAAAATGCTGCTTTGAATCTTATATGCTTTGATTAATCATGCATGGCTTTTGCAGTGCAGTAGCATTTGAATAATAATTTCCTGCTTCTCCCCCTGCCCCGAAAGAATAACTGTTTAGATGCTGTTAAATGACTTGCCAGTTAAAACTGTAGAAGCCTTGTAAATTTAACTCTTCAAGAATCAGCTGTCCTGATCAGCCATTTTTAAAGAGCTGTCTACAATCATGAGTAGAGTTCATAATGCCTTATTCCCCACTTTTTTTTTTTTTCTAGAGCAAGTGTTTTTGTTCTGCTGAACAAGCAAGGCCACAGATAACTTTCTGCTCTAGGTCTAGGCTGTCAGGCAGGACATCAGATGTGAAAGTTCAGTTTTAGTATTTCCTATACTGGTAAGCCAACAACGATGGAAGAAGTGCATCCTGAACCCTGGTCAGGGAGACTGGGATCACTTGGGCTTCTGGCAGACATTACACGTATGCCATGATTAACTAGTTATTTAGCTTGTAGTAACCCGGCCATATGTTCATTCCATTTAACAGTACACTAAACCAGGGAATAACCCAGAAAACTGTTTTACAAAATATAATAACTCTTGTAGCTGGTTCCCATAAATTGAATGTGGAGCCCATGATAATCGGTGCTCCAGGCCACAGGAGCACTAAGCACCTGGCTTGATACATGTTAGTGCAGGATCCTGGGCTCCCCCTGCACTGAAAACGTGGTGTGACTAGGATCTGATCCCCAGTCCCACAATTGTATCTCCTGCCAGGCATGTGTGGTGTATGGCACAGCTGTTGTGATCATGGATTGGATCCCATTGTGCCTTTTTAATTGAACATCTGTTTTTGGCCTTAGTGGATATCAGTTTGATACCACTGGTGGCTTTGATAAATGATAGTCATGCTTGCATAGCAGCATGAGCTCTCTAGACGAGGAGTAGATTATTGGTATGTGGGTCTGCATGGCCTTGGTAAAACTGAGCATAGATGCACAGACCCACTTGAATGCCAAGTATTATCTGTGTGTTTGTTTTATTCAAATCTTCAGTAGTAGGTTTGCTTGCATCTTGGGCAATTGAAAACCCATCCAGCGAGGAGTGAGACTGAACTTCCATTGGCTTTCATATTTTGCTTTTAATATTCAGCTTGGCTGCTTTAGTGACTTGCTAATCTCTGGCTTTCTGTTTAGAAATTGATAGTGGTGATATGACAGCCCAGGTAATGAGCCCCTCTGGAAGAACTTCTAATGCAGAAATAGTTGAAGTTGATAAAAACACTTACTGTGTCCGCTTCGTACCACAAGAAATGGGGGTCCACACTGTCGATGTCAGATACAGAGGTCAGCCAGTGCCTGGCAGTCCCTTCCAGTTCACTGTTGGGCCACTCGGTGAAGGAGGAGCTCATAAAGTCCGAGCTGGGGGTCCAGGACTTGAGAGAGGAGAAGCAGGTATCCCAGGTAAGAATTCCAGAGTTCTCTTCCCTCTCAGGAGCAGAGACGCTGAGTACGTTGCTCTGTAACAATGCGCTGGGTAATGCTGACACTGCAGAAACTGACTCTTCAAATTCCTGTGTAGTTCAGTGGCTCAGTTAGAGCTAAAATTGTGATGTTGCTGTATTGTTTTATGCTCTTGTGGTATTCAGCTGAGAAATGCAAGCTAAGGAAAATAACACAGCTGTATTTCATGTGTGGACAAGGCTGGTTTTATTTTAAATCTTCAGCTTTAAAAGTCAGTCTTCCAAAAACATGCCATGAGTAATATAGGTTTATTGTGGACCTTTTTAGGCTGAGGAAATGGATAGGCATGCTACACTGGTACAAATGCCTAATACAGGCACCCAGCAGTGAAAAATGGGTTATGCTTGCACAACTTTAGTGGTTCTACTCGGTTTATCACCCATATAGCAAATCTGTACTAAAGAATGCACACAGTTTCCAAAGGATGTCACTATCACAGCTTAACAAATGTAGATGGAAACAAGGAACTTTAATAAAATGTCTGTGTGTTTAAACACTAGGCTAGAACAAACTTTAAGGTTGGGCTTCAGCTGGAAAAATGTGATGAGCATCACTAAAGCTGGTCTCCTGATAATTAGCTGTGATGCTTATACATCCTTTATTAATCTTAATGAAGAATCTTTACTGTTCATCCTGTCAGTATCTTAACCCATACTGTATGTAAGCAATATTTCCCTGATACCTACATATACTCTACCATGCCACTGTGTAGGAATGGTGTACTCCAAGTTGGCATGTAACTTTTTTTCAAATAAGAACTCTTGTATGATTCAACAGCCGAGTTCAGCATATGGACAAGAGAAGCTGGAGCTGGAGGACTCTCTATTGCTGTAGAAGGTCCAAGTAAAGCGGATATTGCATTTGAGGATCATAAAGATGGATCCTGTGGCGTATCATACGTAGTTCAAGAACCTGGTATGTACCAAAACTAAATTCTACTGAAATTGCATCTGAATTTCCTTAGCTACATTCTGGGGCTCATCTTAAATACTGTCCTGTTTTCTTCCAGGTAACTATGAGGTGTCCATAAAGTTCAATGATGATCATATTCCAGAAAGCCCCTACCTCGTTCCTGTCATCGCTCCTTCAGATGATGCTCGCAGACTCACTGTCACCAGCCTTCAGGTGAGACATAAGGAAACATCTTCATAATTTACCACAGGCTGACTGATTTTCGTCCTTGTTCTCAGAGGCTAAAACGGTCCTACTATTTAATTTATTAGGTGATAATCCCTACTTTGAAATTTGTAGCTAGAAATGGCTTGCAACCCTTGAACTGTCTTGTTTGAAGGAACATATAACTAGAAATCTCCTTTGGACAGTTGGTTTCAAGTGTAAGTGGTGCATGCTTATGCTTCAGTTCCTAACATTTGGGTAATCCCCAGAAATCTCACTAGAGGGGAAGCAGTGACTCTGCAATGGAGTCATCTCTGATTCCCCAGACGGTTTACTCACGAGCCTGTGTAGCCTCTTACTGTCTTATAAATGGGTGATTAGCCATTCTGTTCATGGGGTGGGGGAGTAGATTTGTAGGCAAATATGTCTAAAAGCTGTGACTAAACAGGCAAGACAGAGCAGATGAACTTAATCAGGCCTCTATTTAAGAGTTGTTCTAAGGATTCATGTGGGCAAATTGATGGGGCCCCAGAGTGACTTCAAGGTAGTAATTCACTCATGTGCCGACGTCATAAAACCACAAACTTGCAGCTCAAATCGTTCAAAAACAGCAGCAAATCTCCAAGAGTGAATTCCAGCTTTGTAGTCATTCTGGGCTCATCTGTTATACTTACCAACTTATGCATTTTTTTTTTTTTTTGTGGTTATGTGTATTAAAAATACACATAACATTAAAGATCTGACTTAAACCTAAAAAATCAGGCAAGCTAAAAACGAGACTGAGAACCCAGGCTTTAACATACTATACCACTGTACTAGTAGTCAGCAAGTGTCTGTTGCATCCAGGAGTTCATGTTATAGCTCTGTTTACCCAGTTAAGTTAGGGCAGTGGTTCTCAATGTTTTTGGACTTGAGGCAGCCTTTCATAATGCTTGTGAACTGAGTGCCACCCAATTTCAAAAAATGGTTTATAGGTTAGTGCTAACTTCCTTGCAGTGGGGACAGGCCTAAGCCTGTGCTCATCTCGCACCTCAAGGCACCCTTCAAAAGGTCTGGTGGCCTGGCACTTCGGTTGAGAATCACTTTATTTAGAGGGTCTTTGGTGTGGGAGGGGCTTGAGCCGCCTTTCTTCCTTGGTTTAATTAGGTTTTGGTTAGACTTCAGAATTTAATTATCATTTTACATAGCAAAAATGCTGACATCTAATGTGCTAGTAACAGTTCTTTAGCATTTGCTATTCAAGGAGTTACAAGGGCGTTAATTAGTCACTGTGGTATCGATGTTTTTCTTGTGTTTCATTTAAAGACTGTTG